ATGCCAAGACTAATACAGACTGTTTTTCCCACTTAGAAGTGGTGACCATAAAGATAAGTTTCTTGGGGTTCCCAGAGGTGAGTCACCTAGCCATTTTTACAGCTAGCAAGCCCACCAGTTTGCTATATCCTTGCCCAAGAACTTCCCAGATATCCTAGACTGAAAACTGAGGGTAACTTGGCCTATGAAGCTCCAAGTTAATACACTTTACTTTTCTTTTTTATTATTATTATTTATTTATTTGTGGCAGGGTCTCACTGTGTCGCCCAGGCTGGTGCGCACTGGTGTAAATCTTGGCTCATTGCAACCTCTGCCTCTCGGGCTCAAGCAATTCTTGTGCCTCAGCCTCCCTAGTAGCTGGGATTACAGGCATGTGCCAACACGCCCAGTTAATTTTTGTATTTTTAGTAGAGACAGGGTTTCACCATGTTGGCTAGACTGATCTCGACCTCCTGACCTCAGATGATCTGCCTTCCTTGGCCTCCCAAAGTGCTGAGATTACAGGCATGAGCCACCACACCCGGCAGAACTTTACTTTTCTTATACTTGAATTTGCTTGTAGAACTGTTGAGGTTGTATAACCAAGGACTCACTTTTTTGTTTTCTATCAATGAAATAAAACAACAAAACCCTGTAGATATATATTCTGAGCCATTTTCTGTTCTTCCAGAGTCCCAGAACCTAGCACTTGGGGACTAGGACTGTTTCATATTGGGCAGCGGTCATTCCAGGGGCCCAACTCTTGGCCTCAGCAGGCAGGGGTCAATGCATCATGGACTTGCCAGAGGAGAGACACAAGAGGCCTGAAAAGAGCAGCTTCTGCTAGCAGTTCAACAAGCTGACACTAATTAAGAGCTAATGGCCTTACAATGGAGCGTTGCCAAAGGGTAACCCTCCGGCTGCAGCATAAATATCAAGGCATTTGGGGCAGAGCCAAGACATATATTTTCAGAGTACATTAGACACTGCAGCAGCCTTCCTCACCCTGGCTCTGCTAAGAACAAGATGATTTAAGATAGGTAGGAAAGAAGCTGAATCTTCCAGGGCTGCCTTCTGGTCACCTGGCCAGAAAGCCTCCGAGTGACTCTTGGAAAACACTTCACTTTTGTATATACAAGAATCACTTGAGGAGCTTGCCAAAATGCAGATTCTCTTGGCCCCACCCCCAAGATGGTCTGATTTTGGAAGCTCTGGGATAAAACCCACGAATCTGCATTTTTATTTTATTTTATTTTATTTTTGAGACAGGATCTCACTCTGTCGCCCAGGCTAGAGTGCAGTGGCGCAATCTCACTGCAGCCTCCACTTCCCAGGCTCAAACGATTCTCCACCCTCAGCCTCCCAAGTACCTGGGACTACAGGTTTGAGCCACCACGCCTGGCTAATTTTTGCATGCTTTGTAGAAACAAGGTTTTGCCATGTCACCCAGGCTGTTCTCAAACTCCTGAGCTCAAGCGATCCACCTGCCTCTGCTTCCCAAAGTGCTGGGATTCCAGGCATGAGCCACCACGCCCAGCATTTTTAAACAAATCCCCCAAGTGATTCTGATGCTTGTGGTTCTCAGACCACACTTTGAAAAACGCTGCTTTAGAAGCTGCTGCTATTTGTCCATTGGACCCCAGTGACAAACTTTTTACAGAATGAAGATAAAAGTGAGGTCAGGGCCGGGCGCAGTGGCTCATGCCTATAATCCCAGCACTTTGGGAGACTGAGGCAAGGGGATCACCTGAGGTCAGGAGTTCAAGACCAGCCTGGCCAACATGGTGAACCCCCGCCTCTACTAAAAATACAAAAATTAGCTGGGTGTCCTGGCGGGTGCCTGCAATCCCAGCTACTCAGGAGGATGAGGCAGGAGAATTGCTTGAACCAAGGAGGCAGAGGTTGCAGTGAGCTGAGATCGCGCCATTGCACTCCAGCCTGGGTGACAGAGCAAGACTCTGTCTGGAAAAAAAAAAAAAAGTAAGGTCAGGATTGTCTGCTTCCTGTGAAGACCCCAGTCCAGAACATGGCATTTCCAGCCAGTCTCTATTAAGGTCTTCTCATTCACACAAACCTGTGGTTACCAGGAGCAAGATTTGAGGGGATGAGTAGCTAATCCTGGATTTTGAGAAAAATAGAAAGCATCCCTGGCCAGTGCAGTGGCTCACGCCTGTAATCCCAGCACTTTGGGAGGCCAAGGCGGGCAGATCTCGAGGTCAGGAAATCGAGACCAGCCTGGCCAACGTGGTGAAACCCCGTCTCTACTAAAAATACAAAAATTAGCCAGGCGTGGTGGCACGTGCCTGTAATTCCAGCTACTCGGGAGGCTGAGGCATGAGAATTGCTTGAACCCGGGAGGCAGAGTTTGCAGTGAGCTGAGATCACGCCACTGCACTCCAGCCTGGTGACAGAGCAAGACTCCATCTCAAAAAAAAAAAAAAAAAAGCATCCCATCTGCATGATGTGTACATGTCCGTGATGCTTCCATATACCATAACTCATATGATCTTATTGCAGTCTTTCAGGGTAGTTAAGTTATTGCATCTGTTTTAAAGCTGAGGAACTGTAGACCTGGAGGTGTAGCTTGCCTTTGCTGGTCAGCATGACATCAGAAAAGAGAGTGAAAAATAGTCACTGCATTACAATGCGGCAAGCAGGGCAGGCAAATCAAACCAGTAACTTAAGCTTGACCTACCTTGATCAGGCTTTTTATCCGCTGGTAGAATTGACGTTGGTTGTCAAGATCAGCAAATATTGTTGTAAAAGGATTGATGGGTCAGATTATAAAAATAGATGGAAAGTTTGTACGATAAATGCAAGCAGAGTATGAGAACAGGAGAGAAACAACCCACCATATCATCTGGGAAAATGAAACTCCTTGGCAAGACTTCACAACAGCCTGATTCAAAATTTCATAATGAAATTATGTCTCTGATCAAAGCCTGAATGAGCTCATAGGCTGATTTTTGCCATCCGTGTTTATTCTGGTTTGCACCAACTTGAGGCATCAGAAACACATTAACTGAATCTTCTCTCTGGGAGGAGGCTATTGTACCCTTGTTTTGGGGATCAGAGGGACAGTGTGGGGTGGAAGGGGGCATCTTCACTGAGCATGAAGTTTTTTTCCAAATAGCTCTCAGAGCTTCCCTAACACAAGTCAGGGTCAGGGCCTTCCCAGCAGAATTGCATTTAATCTCATGATACTTGCCCTTGGGGCAAGGAAAGGGAAGCTCAAGGGACAGAAGGTATTTCCAGCTCTTGCCTATGACATGGCCTGCTTTTGCTCTACAAAGAGTGTTTCGGGGTTTGTTTCAAACTTGGAGAAATAAAGACTCAATCATCCCCTGCTCAATTAGAATACCTCACTTTATAACAAGTTGTTCGTTTTTATGAAATGAGCTACACTGCATGCATCCACCCTTCCTCTTGCCTAACCATCTCTTTTCTGGCCTATAGGCCACTTCCTGACAATTTGAGGTACCAAAAAAGAGACAGGGGCCAGGCGCGGTGGTTCACACATGTAATCCCAGCACTTTGGGAGGCCGAGGCGAGTGGATCACCTGAGGTCAGGAGTTTGAGACCAGCAAAGCTCGAGGGACAGAAGGTATTTCTGTCCTGGCCAATGTGGCGAAACCCTGTCTCTACTGAAAATACAAAAATTAGCTGGGCGTGGTACCATGTGCCTGTAATCCCAGCTACTTGGGAGGCTGAGGCAGGAGAATTGCTTGAACCCAGGAGGCGGAGGTTGCAGTGAGCCGAGATCGTGCCACTGCACTCCAGCCTGGGCGACAAGAGCGAGACTCTGTCTCAAAAAACAAAAACAAAAACAAAAAAATAAAAAAATTTTAAAAAGAGGGCTTCTTGGTTGAAACACTGGCATCTAGAAACTTTATTTTGGCTGGTAGAAACAGAGATCACTGGGTCTTAATGCCTTCCTTCACCCTCAAGGCAAGAGACATTCCCATCTACTCATCCTTTCATTTAATGAATATTTTTTGAGTCCTTTGTTTCAGGTGCTATTCAAGTCTTAAAGACACAGCAGTGAACAAATTTACAAGGTCCGTGATTTCAAGAAGCTTACATTCTAGTTTGAGGGAAGCAGCCAATAAACTGGTAAAAAAAAAAAATTCAACTAGCGATAAATGCCATGAAATAAATAAAAGAGAATACTGTAACAGAGTAACTGTGAAAGGGTGAAAGGTGGCTGATTTAGACAAATCAGACAGGAAAGAGTTCTCACAGTACGAAGGGTCACCAGATAAAATACAGAACGTACAGTTACATTTGGATTTCAGGCAAACGATGAATACTTTTTTAGTGTATGTATTTTCCAGGCACTATTGGAGGTGTACTAAAGAAATGTATTCCTTTTTTTCCGCTGAAATTCTAATTTAATTTGGTGTCCTGTATTTCTATTTGCTAATTCTTGCAGGCCTACCAATAGGTGATATTTGAGCTGAGGATTGAATGACCACCTATGCAAAGATTCTGGGAAACAGTGATTCAGGCAGAGAGACTATCCAGTGTAAATGTCAGAATAACCAGAGGGAGGGAGGTACACATGAGATCAGATAAATAGGCAGGGGCCAGATCACAGAATCCTGCAGGGATGGCAAAAAGTTTGATCAATCTGTCTCTCTCTGTTTCTCCCTTCCCCCTTCCCCTACCTGTCATTCTAAGAGTGATGATAAGCCGCAGGAATTGTAAGGAAGAGGATGACACCTTCTAATGGATATTTGGCTGCTGTGTGGTCGGCAACTTTTGGAAGGACTTAGAAGACAAATTCAGAAGACAAACTTAAGCTTGTGTCATTGGCCTGGGAAGAGGCTTCTTTATTTGGAGGTGGACCCAACTGGGAGCTCTGGGCCACGCGTTCAGGGTAACTAGGCGGTTGCTATGGAGGGGCAGCTTGGCGGTTGCTAGGGCTGGAGCGGGCTGGGGCTCCACGCAGGGCGACGCCTAGGTGGCTAGGGCGGGGGCGGAGCCAGGCCGGTAGTGGCGCGCGCCGCGCGTTCACAGGAAGTCGCTATGGGGCAAGGAGGGGCGCGAGCGGAAGTGACGTAGGTCGTGCACACGTGGTCCGGCGTGGTTCACGGGGGTGACTTTGGCCGGGCCTGGGTAGTTCTAAGTTTGTTTCCCCACGTAAGCCGGACCTCGCACTCCGGTCCCGGTCTCGTCGCCAAGATGGTGAAGCCCAAGTACAAAGGACGGAGCACCATCAACCCGTCCAGTGCCAGCACAAACCCAGGTACAGGCGGCAGGGCTGATCGAGGGTGGAGCTTGGAGGAAGTATAGGGAAGGGCTCCGAGGAGGACTGGAGGAGAAGGAGGGTTACTTGGGTGGCATTGCTTAGAATTACTATGAGCGGGGTGGCTGTTGGGGATGAAAAGGGAAAAAGGAAAGCAATATTTGTGGTGGTTTCTTCTCGGGGGCACTGAGGAGGGCTGACATTGCACGCCTGGCAGGCCAAAGTGTAGTCAACTGGTCTAAAGTCAGGGAAAGTGAACACTCAGGCTGGCAGCCTCGGGTCCTCTCCAGTTGAGAGATGCAGAGAAAGTCAGCTTGAAAATGGATAATCGGGCCTTTTACACGTGATCATATTTGCCGGCCACCTTAACTTTGACCTTTAAAATGAGAAAGGGATTGTAGTTTTTGCCCTTGGAATTATTCTATCTGGTAAAGTGCTTAGAGAACCCTACAAAGAAGTCAATATGATCATTGCAGTAAGGCTGTTTTGGAGATGTGTGTAAGTTTTGGCGAAGTTCCACCTGTAGGATTAGCAAGACATCCTGTGGGAGAGTTCTTTCCATTCAAGTTTAATTAATAAAACTTTGTTTTAAAATATGGTTTAGAGTTTTTGACAATTTTAATGCATGTTGAATGTTTACTCCGGATTGATAATAAATTATTCACTTTGCACAAACTGGAATCTCAGAATGTTAGACCCCAAAAGTCCCTTAGAGATTATGATTTTACAGGTGAAGAGACTGAATCAAAATGCAGGAAGTGGCTTGTCATAATTGCAACAGTTAGTGAATAGTAGTAGAGCCGCCAGTCTCTACTGTTAGAGAGTAGGAGAGCCAATGGGCTGTGGTTTCAGCCTGTCTTCTACTGCATCACTTCAGGACCAGACAGGTGATTTAGAGGGCTCCCAGTCGGGTGTGGGCTCACGCCTGTAATCCCAGCACTTTGAGAGGCCGAGGCGGGCGGATCACCTGAGGTCAGGAGTTCAAGACCAGCCTGACCAACATGGTGAAACCCCCTCTCTACAAAAATAGAAAAATTAGCCGGGCATGATGGCGGATGCCTGTAATCCCAGCTACTCGGGAGGCTGAGGCAGGAGAATCGCATGAACCGGGGAGGCGGAAGTTGTAGTGGGCTGAGATCGCAACACTGCACTCCAACCTGGGTGAAAGAGCAAGACTCCGTTTCGGGAAGAATAAATAAATAAATAAATAAATAGCTCCCAAAATGAGAAGCTAGGCTAGTATTACCCTGCTCGTTTGTTCTTCTCTTTCTCTTTGAGATGTAAGGCAAGAATTGCTGTGTTGATTAAACAAAAATCAAACATTAAGAAACTGGAACACATATATATCAAAATTATAGTCTCCATGGTGCCTTGCATGGAGGAGACACCCCATATTTGTTAAATGGAGGCACAGAGGTAGGTATCTTCGTGGTTAAGACCATAGATGGTGATAAAATGCTCGTGTTCAAATTCTGGCACTGCCATTTAGTAACGGTTTGACCTTGGGCAAGGTGTCTGACCACTGTGCCTCAGTTTCTCACTCTGCAGCATGGAGATAATATATCTATAGGATTATTGTATGGATTAAATGAGATGATGCCTATAATGTGGATAGCCATCATAAGTGCTCAAAAATATTAGCTATTCTTCTCAAATACAATCCTATCAAAGATCAAAGGTTGGGTCAGCTTTGTCATACCATATAGCTTCAAGTAATAATTATTGGAACAACATGGAGAAAGTAGAGATTTTTGTGGTTGGTGGTTTCTTACCTAATTTGGGTGAACTACTTGTTGCATTTTAAGCAATGACTTGTTGGTTATACTGGTTGGTTATCAAATAGTGCACTGTGTACTTCTACCTTTTGTAGATCGAGTGCAGGGAGCAGGAGGCCAAAACATGAGGGACCGGGCCACCATCCGGCGCCTGAATATGTATAGGCAAAAGGAGCGCAGGTGAGCATTGGGTGCTGTCATCCTTTCTCTTTTCCTTCATGCCCTTGACCGCTAGCTGAGACTGATTAAGCCTTTGCTGTTCTCACCCCCACTTCCTCCAAATAAGAGTTATATATTCTCGAATATAATTGTATATGAATGTCGTTAGGATAAATGGTTAATTTTTGGTTAGGGGCATGGGTAGCTGGTGGTGAAATAGTGATGGTTTCACAGTACTCAAAAGTAGAGGTCTTATTTCTCACAGCCCTGACCTTCACAAATGGCGCATTAAATCTCAGCGTTAAATACGGCCAGATATAACAAAACCTACAGGACTATGGTTAGGAAAGCCACCAGAAAATGTGTTTTTTAATGCCAAAATGTAGATCACAACATTGTGCCACTTGGACACTCATCACAACTCCGAGTTCTGCTGAGGTAGCCTCTACCACAGGGATTTGCTGAGTGTGGCATTCCGCTAGCTGGTCTTAGTTTGTTTGGTAATTAGATTCTCCGCCTCTGTCTGTTCTGGAAGATGTGACTAAAATACAAATGTCAATTAACTTATTATGCGTTAGTCATCTACTTTGCAGTTTGTTTTAGAATTTGGAATCCCAGCGTAAATCACCCTCTACTTGAACAATTCATCTAAAACAGCCTTTGAATAGTTACCCAAAAAACTCAAGTATGTGTTTTTTTTTTTAAAGTAAACAGTAAACAGATTTTTTAAAACATCACCGTTAGTTGTTATTCATCTAGCAGAAATCATTACGTGCTCTGTTGCAAGAGGTTAAATGGCTTTTGGGCAATCTGTTTCAAATGTAGAAGTACTTTGTGTTTATTGGAATTGGTATTTCATGATCATTTAAAACCAAAGTAAGAAGTCCTTTTGATGGAAAATATATTCTGTAAATCAAACTTTGCTGTTGCCATTCTTCTGTTGTCAACCAATATCTGTTCTTTCCTCAATTTAGGAACAGTCGTGGTAAAATAATTAAACCCCTGCAATATCAGTCAACGGTGGCTTCTGGCACAGTAGCAAGAGTAGAGCCAAATATTAAATGGTTTGGTGAGTATTATCCCCTGCTACTTTGCTCTACAAAATGTATGCTGAATGGAAACGGCTAGGATGTTTAAATATCTAAACGACAGGAGTTTTTGGTGAGTGGAACTGTCAAGGATTATCTGAGAAAGGGATAAGAAAAAGTACTGGGAAAAGTAGTGGTGGTAGATTTAATAAATAACTTCTTTTTGAAGAGCGCTCACCATTAGTAATTGTAATTGAACCCTCTTAAGCAGATAAGACCGTCCTTAATGACTAGGATTCACAGACCTTAGAATGCTCATCTTGATCTTTTATGCTTGCCTGGAGAGATAGTGTTTGAGAGGTGGCCTTGTAGGTGTTTGTGCATATATCCTGCAGGGTAAGTGCATTAGCCCAGAGTTCCTCTGAAACACTTCTTAATGGAGTTTTTATTTGAACTTGGGTGACAATTAAAGGGTCTCACTGTTGAACCTTCCAACAGTGAATAGAGTATCTTCAGTCACAGGGTGATCACAGCTTCTTCCTTGGGAAACTCCCTGTTCCATTTCAGTCTGGGCTTTTAACTTTGCCCTTAGCCACTGGTAATGTATGGGCACTTTAGATGATCAGACCCCAGTGTTTGCTTGGTGTTTGACCTCTGTTCTTGGGGGCAGATGGCAGCTACCTTTGAGTCTCTTATACTTTTGGTAGGATACTTCCTAGGAGCTGCAACACAGAAAGGTGTCAAAGAAAACTCTGCAGAGAAGCATTTAGCATGGCTGCCGGGTACTGTGACTCCAGATTAGACTGCCTGGGTTTGAATTCTAGTTCTGTCATTTATGTGCAAGTTATTAAGTCTGTCTGTTCATCAGTTTTCTCATCCCTAACAGAGAATAAGATGAAACCTATCTCACAGGACTGTCGTGGTAATCAAATGAGTAAATACAAGCAAAGCACAGTGGCTCATGCCTGTAATCCCAGCATTTGGGAGGCCAAGGCTGGTGATTCACTTGAGGTCAGGAGTTCGAGACCAGCCTGGCCAACACGGTGAAACCCCCATCTCTACTGAATATACAAAAATTAGCCAGGCATTGTGGTGGGCACCTGTAATCCCAGCTACTTGGGAGGCTGAGGCAGGAGAATCCCTTGAGCCTGGGAGGCAGAGGTTGCAGTGAGCTGAGATTGTGCCGCTGCACTCCAGCCTGGGTGACAGAGTAAGACTCCGTCTCAAAAAAAAAAAAAAAAAGGTAAATACATATAAAGTGCTTAGAATAGTACCTAGCAAATAGTGAGTATAATATAAGCATTACTTGCTACCATCATTACCACCTTGCTGTTTTGCATTCATGCTGCAGCATGCTGTTTAATTGAATGCTTTTCAGGATCTCCCTCACAAGGTGTTTTCCAGGTGGTGGTGCAGGGCTCTGTCTTGTTCCCTTGCATGGATTCATTGGTTAATGAATCATTAACCAATTGACTAACCAATTGAGGTCCCTTTGGATCCTCATAACCCTAAAAGTGGTAACTATGACTCAGGTTTCAGTGTTTCAAGATTCTCTGTCTATACTGACTGATCAGCTGTGATTGGCTCCAAGTTTCTCTGCCAGATCTAGCAGGAAGTAGGACATTTGTCAGATCTCAGTTCCATTCCACGCTATTTATTTCTCAGTTTCATTTAGTCAGGAAACGGCTTGGAAAACTATTGAAACCCTTTGTGGGTCTGGGTTGGTGGAATAGTTCATAGTGTGCAAGTGCAGGAGAGGCAGTTTTCTGGGTTTTTTTCCTCTTTTAAGTTTGGAAATAGCTCCAAGGGATGGATGGATCAGGTACTTGGGTGAGTGAGGGTAATTTAAAATCTTGCCTTTCACCATGTCAGTGGAAGATGAATGTGCAAATATGTATTAAGTGGCAACATTCTTTATTTGTAAAACAGGAAACACACGTGTGATTAAGCAGTCATCATTACAAAAATTTCAAGAGGAAATGGATACAGTTATGAAGGATCCATACAAAGTTGTCATGAAGCAAAGCAAGTTACCAATGTCTCTTCTCCATGATCGAATCCGGCCTCATGTAAGATGTAGGATATCCCTGGCGATGGAATTTCCTGGGCAGACTCCTTGCAGCTCCCTCTCTAACATATTTGTCTTTTGTTTTTCTTAGAAAATAGCAATTTCAATGTAGCAATGATGAACTTCCTAAGACCTCTGTTTTCATCTTTTCACGTTTAGTATGAAGTATGGTAGTGTAGTGGATCAAAGCACAGGTTTTGGAGTTGAGACCTGAATTTTAATCCTTGCTCTATCCGTTCCTGTACCCTTAGTTGGGTTTCTCTATGAACTTTAACTTCTTTGCTTTGAAAGTATAAATAGGCTGGGCGCAGTGGCTCACACCTGTAACTTGGGAGGCCCAGGCGGGCGGATCACTTGAGGTGAGGAGTTTGAGACCAGCCTGACCAATAAGAGGAAACCTCATCTCTACTAAAAATACAAAATTAGCCGGGCATGATGGTGCATGCCTGTAATCTCAGCTACTCGGGAGGCTGAGGCAGGAGAATTGCTTGAACCCGGGAGGCGGAGATTGCAGTGAACCAAGATCGTGCCATTGCACTCTAGCCTGGGCAACAGGAGCGAAACTGTATAAAAAGAAAAAGAAAGTATAGATAACCCACCTCCTTGGGTTATTGGCTACAGATGAAACGTCTGTAAAGCACTTGGTCCATAGTAAGCACATAGCACACCACCTAATAAGAGCTAAATTGATAACAGGTATTAGTAATATTATTTATTATTATTTATTTTGGTAGGCAAACTTGTTTTAAGTGGTAATTCCATCAAACATTGGGACAGCGTAGAATTAGGATTGAGTTGGTAGAACTTTGGTGTTGGGTACGTTCAGCTTTTGTAAGATCCTTGAGATTTCTTCTCAGCTGAAGGAAGGGGTGCTGGTCTCATTGGTTGTCAATTGCTGAAGTTTGAAGTACAGTAAGGATTCAATCTGGGTTGAATGGAATGAGTTTCACACAGAACAAAGAAAGAGTCTGATGTTTGTCTGCTCCTTTTTACTTGCATTGAATAATAATTCCCAGAAATGTAACCATTACGTAAGCTTCAGTTCCGATATGAGGAGGGGAGAAAAACATTGACATGCGTATGTGGGTTAAATAGTTCAAAGAAAAGTGTTTACTTGCAGAACAAAATAAAAACTAAGGCCTGGTTATTGCCTCAGGTTTTGTCAGTTATGTTTTGTTTTATGATGGACTAGAAGAATGGCACCTATTAGTGGAATGACTGTTTTCTTTCAGGGGAACACATGAGTGTAATTCATGAACCACAGACAAGTTGCTCATTTCCCTTGTTCTCTTTGTCTGTTCTCCCTAAAGCCATCTTTTAAGCAACTATTGAATCTTGTTTATGAGAAGAACAGAGAGGCTCTGTCATGGATTTATTGCTTTGTTGCCTGTTCTTGTCAGCGCTTCTAAAATTCAGTGTTTAAATATCTGGTATGTAGAATGAAGGGTCTACAGTTGCACCAGTCAGCTTCTTCGTTGATGCAGAAAGCTACTCAGAGTAATTGATGCGTTTTCTGCTTTGGTCTTGAAAAACCTTACCTATTTTATTTTAGTATGATATCTATTACTTATAAAATCTAATTCTGAGATTATTTTGCACAGTGGAGTTAGATCAGATATGCATATTCATCTATATGTGTTTTAGAACTACTGTATTTCTGTAGCAATACAGTAAGAGTACTGTAACTTTGCCTATGTACTTTATTATATACTGTATATTACTGTATTATGCTTATTAATGTGTAGATTTATAGGCAAAGCCTTGTGTGCTGTAACTTATAGGTTAAGAGATTTTGAAGATAATTTTGGTCACACTTGATTTTACCCAGTGACGTTAGAACCTGTTTCTCATGTAAAATGAGCTGCTTCTGTTTGGGGATGCTCCCGAGTGGAACATAGTAACTAAAACTAAACTGAGTTGTGGGTTAGAGCATCTGAGAAAATGAAAATAGTTTAAGGATCTTTAGAAGTTGGAAGAGGGGATCCGTTAAAGTTCAGAAGCCATGGGGGCTGCTCCATCATCCTCACAGCTTTTGGTAGTGGTGCTTACAGAGGAGCTTGTGCTAGGGGGAAAAGGGTGATTTTCTTCTTTTTTCTTTTTTGATATTGTCTGCCGGCTGTTAACATTCTGTTATGTGATAGAGCCTAACTCAAACTTTGACTTTTATCTTGCTTCAGAAATTCTTATGCCTGTAACTCCTTTACAGGCACATCAAGTTCTAGTTAGTATCAGGTTCCTTTTATCACATCTAAACTATTATTTTGGACTTTGGCTAGATGTTTTTCATCTGAAGACTTGCCATGTGCATTTAATAAAAACGTTACCTAAATTAGGGAAAATGTTATCTGAAACTAAAATGCATCTTACAAAACAAACAATTCCTTTTAGCCATGGAAGAAATTAACTTCCAAGAAAAAGTTGGCATTTACAGTTGGTTTAAAAAAACCTCACAAATTTGAGTATGATTGTCCTTGATAAAATCTATGAATTTGGCGAATTTTATGCACTTGTTTGAAAGCTAAAAAAAATGGTGGAAAAGATTAGTTAATTTTCATCGCTGTAGCCTTAATTACATTTGACTAAAGTTTATGATAAATGAAATAAAGCAGAGTTTTTGGCAAGTTTTTGCACAACTATTCATATTTACTTTATTTGTATTACTTTTGTATCTCTCCAAGGAAGCTTACAGAACTTCGGAATAAGGGTACCAGTGTTTGTGCCATTTCAACAAGTATTTCTGATTTGAAACCAGACTGAAACCATGTTTTTATAGATTTGGGTATGGGTTGAACCTTGGAAAAATAAAATCAGAAAGTCTTTCCTAGGTGGGTGTTTAGCTTTTCGCTTTTCCTCAGTGCTTTTCTTAGTTTTACCTGTTATTCTTGTTTCTCTTCAGAAATCGAAGGTCCACATTCTTGAAACTGAAAGTTTTGAAACTACATTTGGCCCTAAGTCACAGAGGAAGCGACCAAACTTATTTGCAAGTGATGTGCAGTCTCTTATCGAAAATGCTGAGATGTCCACTGAGAGCTATGACCAGGGCAAGGATCGTGATTTGGTAACTGAAGACACTGGTGTGAGGTAGTTTGTTTGTTTGTTTGTTTGTTTGTTTGTTTGTTTGTTTTTTGAGACAGAGTCTCGCTCTATTGCCCAGGCTGGGGTGCAGTGGCACGATCTCGGCTCACTGCAAGCTCCACCTCCCTGGTTCATGCCATTCCCCTGCCTCAGCCTCCCGAGTAGCTGGGACTGCAGGTGCCCACCACCACGCCTGGCCAATTTTTTGTATTTTTAGTAGAGACAGGGTTTCACCGTGTTAGCCAGGATGGTCTCGATCTTCTGACCTTGTGATCCGCCCACCTCAGCCCCCAAAGTGCTGGGATTATAGCATGAGCCACTGCGCCTGGCCTTTTTTTTTTTTTGGTGGATAGAGTCTCGCTCTGTTGCCCAGGCTGGAATGCAGTGGCACGATCTCGGCCCACTGCAACCTCTGCCTCCCAGGTTCAAGCAATTCTCCTGCCTCAGCCTGCCTCCATGCCCGGCTAATTTTTTGTATTTTAGTAGAGATAAGGTTTCACCGTGTTGCCCAGGCTGATCTTGAACTCGTGAGCTCAGTCAGTCCACCCACCTCGGCCTCCTAAAGTGCTAGGATTACAGGTGTGAGCCACCGCGCCTGGCCGAGGTACAGTTTTGAAGTTCATGCAAGTCTCATCATTTGCTCTTCTGCCACAAAACATTTTCTTTCAAGTTATTTTGCCTGTGTGAAGCTCAGTGCTTTAATTTATATATGGAGCTGTCTTCTTCCCTCAGGCTAGACATTGGTGAAATTGGGGCTAGACTGAAGATGTCTAATGCGGCTTGATAAAGGTCTCTCTTCATTCCCAAAATAAATAAGATTTTCTTCATTTATAATCGTAATACACCAGTCATAGACAAATTAGGAAATATAGTTAAGTTGGAAAATGCAACACAAAGAACATAACTCATAACCCCATTGCAGATATTAAGCATTGTTAATGCCTCCGTGAATATGCGGGGCTTCCTTAACTGGAAGACTCTGAGTTCATGGATGGCCTTTAAGGTTTCTTTGACTCTTTGAAGAAAATGTGGAAAATTTGTGAGCATACATAAAGGCGATGGAGTTTTGTCTTTTTTTTTGTTTGTTTTGGGGAGGAGAAGAGGAAGTGTCTATAACTTTCATCATATTCTTGTAGGGATCCATACTCAAAAGAAGAATCAGTCACTAGCTGGCTGCAGTGGCTTACCTGTAATACTAGTTTTCTGGGAGGCCAAGGCAGGAAGATCACTTGAGCACAGGAGTTTGAGACCAGCCTAGGCAACATAGCGAGACCTTGTCTCTACAAAAAATAAAAACTTGGCTGGGCATAGTGATGTACCTGTAGTCCCAGCTACCCAGAAGGCTGAGGTGGGAGGATCACTGGAGCCCAGGAGTTTGAGGCTGCAGTAAGCTGTGATTGTTAGGAATACGTTTCTATGTCAGTACATAATCAACAATAATATTTATTGTCAGAGTGGCATTTTGTTTGTTATGGCCAGTATCATTGTTGGACATTTATACTGTGTATAGTTTTTCCTTATGGTGAACAACACAAGGATGAAGCATCAATGTGACCACATCTCTTTCATCCTTAATTATTCCCCAAAGATAAATTCTTACGGAGCAAATCGTGGTATCAAAAGGTATGCATGTTTTTTGATAGGCAGCTGCCACATTGCTCTTGAGAAAGGTTTAATTTCATTTCCCTTGGGTAGTGCTAGAAAGCTCTCATTCTCCGTCTATCTCATGTCTCTTAAATGAAGTGGAAGTTTTGCTGTCTTAGTGAAGAGGCATTGTCCTTTGACTGCATCAGTGTTATTACCTCATTGCTATTGTCAGCCCATCTTCAAGCATTGGGCCACCTAGAGATAAAATGTCAAGCCATTTGAGGCCAAGCAAAAAGAGGCAGTGAGTTCATCTATTTATTCTTAGAATTATTTGAACTTTCGTTGGCTTTGTATTCTGCCGATTTGAATTTTTCCTCCCGCAAAAGGTATAGTAGGTAATGGAGTAAAGATAAAACTATTTTTGTTTACCTTGGATAAATGTCCTTGAGAATAGTAAATGAACAGATTCTAAACCTTATCAGAAAAATACTGCTTTATATGGGAGCTATGGAGTATAGGTTGTGATTCAGCTCCTGCCAATTCCATTTTAAAATTCTTTTAATTCTTCTTTTTTTTTTTTTGAGACAGAGTCTCGCTCTGTGCCCAGGCTGGAGTGCAGTGGTGTGATCTCGGCTCACTGCAAGGTCTGCCTCCCAGGTTCACGCCATTCTCCTGCCTCGGCCTCCCAAATAGCTGGGACTACGGGTGCCCACCACCACGCCTGGCTAATTTTTTGTATTTTTAGCAGAGACAGGTTTCACCGTGTTAGCCTGGATGGTCTCGATCTCCTGACCTCGTGATCTGCCCGCCTCGGCTTCCCAAAGTGCTGGGATTACAGGCGTTAGCCACCACACTCGGCCTCCCATTTTATAATTCTCTGTGACGTACTGCTTAATTCAGTCATGCTTTTTTTTTTTAGTTTAATGTTTTATTGTGGTAAAATATATGTAACAAAAAATGTGGCCGGGTGCAGTGGCTCACACCTGTAATGCTAGCACTTTGGAGGCTGAGGCGGGCAGATCACCTGAGGTCAGGAGTTCGTGATCAGCCTGACCAACATGGTGAAACCCAGTCCCTACTAAAAATGCAAAAATTAGCTGGACCCGGGGGTGAACACCTGTAGTACCAGCTACTCGGGAGGCTGAGGCTGGAGATTCGCTTGAACCCGGGAGGCGGAGGTTGCAGTGAGCCAAGATCGCACCACTGCATTCCAGCCTTGTGCGAACAGAGCAAGACTCCGTCTCAAAAAAAAAAAAAAAAAAAAGTACTCTTCTAAACCCTTTTTTTTTTTTTTTTGAGACGGAGTCTTGCTCTGTCCCGCTACAGGCTGGAATGCAGTGGTGCGATCTTGGCTCACTGCAACCTCCGCCTCCCGGGTTCAAGCGAATCTCCAGCCTCAGCCTCCCGAGTAGCTGGGATTACAGGCACCTGTCACCACATACGGCTAATTTTTTTGTATTTTTAGTAGAGACAGGGTTTCACCATGTTGGTCAGGCTGGTGATCCTGCCTTTGTGATCCACCGCCTCAGCCTCCCAAAATGCTGGGATTACAGGTGTGTGAGCCACCGTGCCCAGCTCTTCTAACCATTTTTAAGTGTACAGTTTAGAGGCACTAAGTTCATTTACATTGTTGTGCAATTATCACAGCTATCCATCTCCAGAACTTTTTCATCATCCCAGACTGAAACCCTGTACCCATTTAACACTAACGCTCCATTTCCCCTCTGCCCCCAGCCCCTGGTAACAACATTCTACTTTCTGTCTCTTGTGAATTTGACTGGTTTAGGTGCCTAATATAAGTGGAATCATACAGTATTTGTCCTTTTGTGTCTGGCTTATTTCACTTAGTATAATGTCTTCAAGGTTCATTCATGTCGTTGCATGTGTCAGAATTTTCTTCTTCTTTTTTTTTTTTTGTAATTAATTAATTAATTTTTTGAGACAGGGTCTTGCTGTGTCACCCAGGCTGGAACAGTAGCCTGCTCACGGCTCACTGCAGCCTCAACCTCCTGGGCTCAAGGAGTTCTCCCACCCTAGTCTCCCCAATAGCTGGAACTACAAGCATGCAACACTATGCCCAGCTAATTTTTGTGTTTTTTGTGGAGATGGGGTTTTGCCATGTTGCCCAGGCTGGTCTCGAACTCCTGGGCTCAAGCAGTCTGCCCTGCTTGGCCTCCCAAAGTGCTGGAATTACAGATGTGAGCCACTGAACCAGCTAGAATTTCCTCCTTTTTAAAGTTGAATGCTATTTTGTTGTATATATGTGCCACATTGTGTTTATCCATTTATTTGTTGACAGACATTTGGGCACACTTTTAAAATTCAGTTTGTTTCTGGTCCATCTCCAACTGGGTTTGATACTGTTTCTTTTGGTACTTTGACTTTACCCTAAAGCATTCTTTTAGTCTTAATGGTGCTTCAGTTGCTCATTTGGGGTGCTTTCTTATTTAGAAATGAAGCTCAAGAAGAGATCTATAAAAAGGGACAGTCCAAAAGAATATGGGGTGAGCTCTACAAGGTAAGACTCCTAAATTCCCTCCCATTGAGTGGTTCCTTTGGCTTTCGTGATTTTGTAGAAGAAAACTGATTTTGATGTGTTGAACCTCTGTTGCCCAGAGTACAGGCACCACTGTCTGTTCCATCCTCTTCCTTCTACAAAGAAACTTGGAAGACATACTAGCATTGATCTAGGGAACTGCATTGTTTAAAGTACTTGTATAAGAGTAACAGCTATCTTTTATTATACACTCATATAGTTATTACCTGTCAGTATTTTTTAAGATTTCCACCAAAGTGATATTCCTGTTTAGATTTATCATGCCTACTTAAAGTCACATGCAACATTTTAAGTTATTTAGTCCACCCCTCTCCTTTTATAGATGAGGACTCTTGTCTAGAAAGGTTTAATGCTGTACCTAGCTCAACTAGCTTGTTAGTGAAGGAGGCTTTGTGTATCTTGATTTCTGATCCAGTGCTCTTTAACTGGCAGAGGTTTATGTCCATGCACTAATAATAACAACCTTCAGAAGAAAAATTTTCAAGCATAATCATGTAATTTAAATAGTAACATAATAGAAAACGAGTACCGTGAAGGCAAGCTAAACTTTTCAGTTTTTTGTGAAATACACAAAACCTATAATATTACAAACTTAAAGATTATATTACAAACTTAAAGAAGTCTAAGAAGTAATCCATAGTAGTTCAGTAATCCATAGTAGTTAGGAAATAAGTTGAGTTTCATCTAAGCTAGTTTTCCTGTTTTAAATTCAACAGGTTTCAAAAACCACAGGATGAAAAACCTTTTGAATTCTGATCGCTGGGCCTTGAGATTAACTACGACCAACTCTGCCCAGAGACTGTTTTGAAGTTGTCTCTAAATGTTGTTATTTTATTTTCCCCAGACTCCCTTAAATGTCATCCCTCTTTTATTTGTACTGTAGCAAACAATTTTTGCCTCTCTGAATTTTCAGGTGATAGATTCATCAGATGTTGTAGTTCAAGTTCTTGATGCTAGAGATCCAATGGGCACTCGTTCCCCTCACATTGAAATTTACCTGAAGAAGGAAAAACCTTGGAAACACCTCATTTTTGTACTTAACAAATGTGACCTTGTTCCAACTTGGGCAACAGTAAGTACAACTACTCAACCAGAATAGACTATTAAGACATCTGTCAATAAGTCAGTTGTGGGTTTTTAGGCTACAGCGTTGCACTGCTGAGATTGTAGTAATGGGAGTGCTCTCGTTGGAAATACAAAAGTGTGCTCATTGATGGTGGGCGGAGGCACCAGGAGACAGCTGCTGAGGCCACTGCCTGCTTCACATTATGCTCCATTAATTGCATTTAGTAACAATGAGGACATCTTTTGGAATACTGTTTTGTATTTATAAGACAAGACAAAGCATTAACCATTATACTTGGAAAAACCATTTCAAAGAATTGTGGCTAACATTTTCGTTAGACAACATTATATTTGAAACAGTTCTGTAATTCAAGCTCTGATTCTTCCACATAATGTAAATAAATGAACTGCAGTTTACCAACATGTTTTCTTCTCTCCCTCTAGAAACGGTGGGTTGCTGTCCTCTCCCAGGATTATCCGACACTGGCTTTCCATGCAAGCCTTACTAACCCATTTGGCAAGGGAGCATTCATTCAGCTTCTGCGGCAGTTTGGAAAGGTATTGAGCCCTGATCTGTTTCTCCTGGAGTTGTGTAGCTGTGAGTTGGTGTAAGAATCTGTCTTGTCACGGCATAGCAGAAAGTTACCAATTTCTTAACTGGACATGGTTGTGCAGGTCTGTAGTCCTAGCTACTCAGGACACTGAGGCAGGAGGATCACTGGAGCCCAGGAGATCAAGGCTACAGTGAGCTATGATGGCAACACTGCACTCTAGCCTGGGTGACAGCAAAACCCTGCCTCTACAAAAAAAAGAAGATGTGGCCAGGCGTGGTGGCTCACACCTGTAATCCCAGCACTTTGGGAGGCTGAGGCAGGCAGATCACAAGGTCAAGAGTTTGAGACCAGCCTGGCCAATATGGTGAAACCCTGTCTCTACTAAAAATATAAAAATTAGTCAGGTGTGATGGCACACCCCTGTAGTCCCAGCTACTCGGGAGGCTGAGGCAGGAGAATCGCTTGAACCTGGGAGGTGGAGGTTGCAGTGAGCTGAGATTGCGCCACCGCACTGCAGCCTGGGCAACAGAGCGAGACTCCATCTCAAAGAAAAAAAAAAGAGAAGATGTAAAACTTCCAGAGTTGTAAAAACCCACAGAGCGTCAGGATTATAAGAGATTCTGAAGTGTTTTCTTGCTCAGCCTTTGCCACCATCCGTGACCAGTGTTGCTTCCATTTCTGCCACAGCCCTGGCAGCTGACGTTTCATGCTCTGCTGGGCTTTGCAGGTCTGCTGTGCCTCCTCTGCCCATGGAGCCCATTCAGCTTCTATCTCCTCTGGTTGGAGAGGGCCCTGCCAAAATTCAAGCTTCAGATCCCTGGTCAGATGTCAGCTCCTGAGGGAAGCCCTGGAACCAGACTACCCTATCAAATGTTCTTAAAGCTTCATGCTCTGTGCCTGTCATTTTTAATTTGTATATTTAAGTTAATTCTACCTGGCTTCTAACAAAAGACACATGTCTGCTGTCCCACCCTTCCCCACTGTATAGAAGCAAATGCTTCCAATAGTTAGCTGTTCTGTTATTTTTCTCCATATTTTTAGTACATGCTTAGGATTTTTTGTTGATCTGTGCCTACTCCCCCACCCCCAGTTTAAGATGCTTATTAATTTCCTACTATGGAAAATGAGGATTTGCTTTCTTATAGCCATCCTCCCTCTGTATGTACTTCCCCCTGTATTGTTAGATGCCATTGTTGGGTTACAGTATTATTCATTCAGTGTTGGTTGGTTGGTGGTGGTAGTGGTTGTTGTTTTAATTTGGAAAGGAGAGCTTTATTTCTCATAAAGGGTTGCAGCCTGCAGGGTGGCCACTCTAACAGGCTGGGAAGAGTAGCCTTGGCCATTCAACCTTTACACTGTCATGACTGTAACATGTTAGTCACAGCTGATCCACATGGTGTGCTATGAGTATAATTCCTTTCTGATCGAAGCTTTTATTTTCACTGGTGTTACTTTGCTGTGTTCTATTTGCATCTGTCACTATCATGTTACCAAATTCTCTGATACAGTAGGAACTCTCAGTGCTTCCAGGCAGCACAGGTAGTTCCCTTTGGTGGCCAGCACTCCGTCCTCTGCAGGGCTGGCCACTCTCCAGGCTGCTGCAGCGTCGTCTTTCTGGGATTTCCTTTCACTGTCATCCAGAGAATTCCCATGGCTGTTTTCCTGTATGGGAACTCTTGTTCATAGGACCTCTTTTCCTCTTTTCTGGTTTACTCCTTCCTTTCGATGGGACATGTCTTCCAAAAGTTTCTTTAGAAGGAATACTTGGAAAGAACATTTTTGAGATACGCCTTGCATTCTGAGAATATCTTTATTAACGTCTTTATTCTACGCTTTATGCTGTTTTTCCTCAGAATACGGAAGTTACCACTACACTGTCTTCTGACTTCTGGGGAATCTGAGACCATTCTGACCCCTCATACTTTGTGTGGCTGTGATGTCTCTTTTTGAGACAGGGTCTTGCTTTGTCACCCAGGCTAGAGTGCGGTGGCGCAACCTCAAACTCCTAGGCCCAAGCGATCCTCCTGCCTCGTTTTGGCCTTCTGAAGTGCTGGGATTACAGGTGTATGCCACCACGTCCAGCCGGTCTTTTCTTATTCTAAAATTTAAAATTTCTCTTGTTCTAAAATTTCACAGTGATGTGTCTTGAAGTGGGGCTTTTATTGCTTAGTGAGCTCGGCATTTGATGAGACTTTAGTCTGATATTGTCTTACATTATTTCTTTGAAATTTTCTTTCCTCCCTCAGTTGTCTGTATTCTTGTTCAGAAATTTGCTTTTACCTCCTGGTTTAATATTTGAATTATATTTTCTTTTTTTTTTTTTTTTTTGAGACAGAGTCTCACTCTGTCACCAGGCTGGAGTGCAGTGGCGCAATCTCGGCTCACTACAACCTCCGCCTCCCGGGTTCAAGCAATTCTCCTGCCTCAGCCTCCCGAGTAGCTGGGGTTACAGACATGCACCACCACACTTGGCTAATTTTGTATCTTTAGTAGAGATGGGGTTTCTCCATGTTGGTCAAGTTGGTCTCAAACTCCCGACCTCAGGTGATCTGCCTGCCTTGACCTCCCAAATTGCTGGAATTACAGGCGTGAGCCACCGCGTCCGGCCACTTTCCTTGTTTTGATCATCCAGCTGCCCTATCACAAAATTTATTTTGCCAATCACTTTTAATTTGTAATTTCTGAGAGCTCTTGTTGAAATCTGATTTGCTCTGCCTCCTTTTACATCTTACTTCACAGTCACAGTGTCTTCTCTCTCTCCAAGAACGTTAATGATGTTTTGAAATTTTCCTGTCTACATTGATTCTGTTACCTCCGAATTTTTGTTTTTTGTCTTTTCTGCTAGAGTCACACTTGAAAATTTTTTCTTTTACTTTAGAAATTTTTTTGAGACAGGGTCTTATTCTGTCTTAACCCAGGCTGAAGCGCAGTAGTGCAGTCATGGCTCACTGCAGCCTCGACCCCCAAGTAGAGTCACACTTAAATGTTTATTCTTGATTCTCTATTTATATTTAAGAGTAAGGCATTAGGCCAGGTAGAGTGGCTCATGCCTGTAATCCCAGCACTTTGGGAGGATGAGGCAGGCAGATCACTTGAGCTCAGGAGTTCTAGACCAGTGTGGGCAATATGGCAAAACTCCATCTCTACAAAAAAATAGAAAAAAATTAGCAAGGCATAGTGGTGCACACTTACGGTTCCAGCTACCCAGGAGGCTAAGGCAGGAGGATTGCTTGAGCCCAGGAGGCTGAGGCCGCAGAGAGCTGTGATTGTGTCAATGCACTTCAGCCTGGTGACAAGGAAAGACCCTGTTTCAAAAAAAAAAAAAATTAAGGCATTAAAAAACTGGTGGGTTCTTTTTTTTCTCCATGGAGTAGCCTTGTTGACTGATAGACTTCATTGTAGGGTGATTTAACAGGGACTCAAATTTTATTTATTTATTTATTTTTATTTTTATTTTTATTTTTTTTTAGATGGAGTCTTGCTCTGTTGCCCTGGCTGGAGTGCAGTGGCCCGATTTCGGCTCACTGCAACCTCTGCCTCCTGGGTTCAAGCAGTTCTCCTACTTCAGCCTCCCAAGTAGCTGGGACTACAGGCAAGCACCACCAGACCCGGCTAATTTTTGTATTTTGAGTAGGGTTGGGGTTTCACTATGTTGGCCAGGCTGGTCTAGAACTCCTGACCTCAAGTGATCTGCCCACCTCAACCTCCCAAAGTTCTGAGATTACAGGCATGAGCCACTGTGCCTGGCCGGGACCCAAATTTTTTGTTGGGAGGACATCCTATAGATACCAGTGTCTGTTGGTCTTTTTTTTCTTGGGCTTGTGAGTTTCCCCAGAAGAGAATCTTTCAATCTCTAGCTCTGGGGGTATAGAATCCTGGCTGCTAGAGTTCTGGAAACTCAAAGGGAATAGTAGACTGGGCATCTCACTATTTAATACTTAACATTTTCAATTAATCATTCTGGGAATACTGTTGTTATCTTTAAATCCAGGATCCTTTTCAAGTCTGAAGATTACAGATACTTTCAAACATGTGACATTTCAAAAAATCCAAAAGCCTATTTCATAGGCCCTGGATTTCTTTGAGAGTAAAGAAGTTGTGTGCCCACGCTGAATGAGGGAAGGGATGGAGAAGTGTGGCTGCTTTGGCAGACTTATCTGCTGGTCCTTGTTTTCAGCCCTATCTTAAGAGGGATACACCACCAATTCCCAGGGCTCTCTATGATTCATTGTCATTATTATTGCTGGATCTTTAGTTTTTCTGTCTTTACAACCACTTAGCTTTTATGTTTTGTAGTGGACCAAGTTTGATACTGCTTTTAAGCGTCTAGTATTTTGTTTAACATCATTTTAGTTTTTGTTGCCTCATCTCCATCCTATTCTCTGGTTCAGTATGTTTGGTTCTGTTGGTTTAAAAGTGTTAATGTCCACTGCTGTCATTCTAGTGGAGTTGGTGAGGGAACGGGGTTAGCATGTATGTTCAGTTCACCATCTTGAATCAGAAGCCTCCATTCGTTTGTAGGCCCTCTTCTTGATAGCAAGAAGACTTCTTGAGACTTTCGCCCAGTAGTCTAACTTTCAAGGTTGCTTTTTTTTCTTTTGTTATTTATTATTGGCAGTGGAAATGCAAATGTATTATGCAAGGAAAAGGAGGGGTGAGTTGTGGCATTGTCCAGTTGATGAATCTGTTCAGATTCTTTTTCCTGAAGATATTTTATCAGTAAATGGCATTGTCCTAAATCAGTGACTAGCAAGCTATTTTTCTTCTTCTTTTGTTTCTTTTTTTTTTTTCTGAGACTGGAGTCTTACTCTGTCACCCAGGCTATAGTGCAGTGCATGATCTTGGCTCCCTGCAACTTCGGCCTCCCAGGTTCAAACGATTCTCCTGTCTCAGCCTCCCAAGTAGCTGGGATTATAGGTATGCACCACTATGCCTGGCTAATTTTTGTATTTTTAGTAGAAACGGGATTTCATCACATTGGCCAGGCTGGTCTTGAACCCCTGACCTCAGGTGATCCGCCCTCGGCCTCCCAAACTGCTGGGATTACAGGCATGAGCCACTGCCTTCTTTTGTTTCTTGACCTACATACTTTTAACCTTAACACATATAAGGATAATTTCACATGCATGACTGAGGAAATGACTCACCTCTGATTTATTAATAAGCTGATGTATCCAGCTCACTCAGATTATGTAGGTGGTGTGTATCTAGGCTTCAGATCAAGTTGTATCAACAGCTTTGCAGTGTATTGATATTAACAAAGTAATACAACCTGCTTGTCCAAAGGGATACATACGACTGCATGTGTGTGCTGTGTGTTCTCTCTTTGAACAGTTGCACACTGACAAGAAACAGATCAGTGTTGGGTTCATTGGCTATCCAAATGTTGGCAAGAGTTCTGTGATAAATACATTGCGTTCTAAGAAAGTTTGCAACGTGGCTCCCATTGCAGGTGAAACGAAGGTATGTTTGGCGCAGGGTGACCGTACCTCTGCATATTTTATTTTCATAGAGGGTGATTGGTTAGGACTTGTTGATTTCTCACTGCTTCTCTTGAATGCAGACCACCATTAGGAGTTTAGCTCTCCATATAATAGTTTGGAACGTATTGGAGTTGTTTCTGCCCACTTTGGTAAGACTGAGAGTACTTTATATGCCACCGTGTGGCTTTGGCGTGTGTTGGTTAATGTGATTCATATTTAAATCTGTTTTAAATGGTCACTCCAGCTTTTTATTTTGATAAACAAAACTAACCCAAGAATATTTGATGCCTGGGTTAAGAAGCCTCAACCTTAGGGTAGGTCCTGAAAGTTGGGGGTCATATCCTACAACACAGAGTGGGGAACAGCATGGTTTTGCTTAAAGGCAATGAGATCAAGCAGTACTAAGCTCTCAAGAGTACTTTTAAAACTCAGGGAAAGGTTCACTGGGTATAATTGCACAATACTAGATGGAAATCCTGTCTCTGCGTTATTTTTAGACTCTTAGCTGCTGGAAACTATGGTTTACACTTAGTGGAAGTATCTTGTGCACGGCACAGATGAGAGAGTTAGTAGCTTAATTACTTAGCAGGTTGCTTTCCTTTGACTCACCCCTTCCTTCTTCCAGCATCGTACATGAGCATCAGGGGTTTGTGAAATTAGACTCTTAGTGTTGGATACAGGACAACTCTGACTTTTTTCTGACTTCAGGTCTGGCAGTATATTACTTTGATGCGTCGGATATTCCTGATTGACTGTCCAGGTGTGGTTTACCCCTCTGAGGACTCCGAGACAGACATTGTGCTAAAAGGAGTTGTGAGTATTTGGCCCCGATAGGCTGTTTGTGTTTGCGGGGGAGTGTTCTGTAGGGAACCCTGGATAGCTTTCCTTTTCACTCATTAAGAAGGCAGTTTGGGGTCAGCCTGTCTGATTAAACTTTAGGAACATGATGCTGAACAGGGCAGCCTCTCAGCATAAGCTGTTTGAGGAGTTAGTGGAACCATGGGCATATCTGGTCAATATCATGCCACAAAAGAGTTTGTAGTTTACACACAGGATCCAAAGGGAAGCAGGGCCTGTTTATGCTTAGCAATAATTCATCTTCCTGGGTTTATGGGTTGAGTCATTTTGGAACCCAGTCATTTCCTCACTTGTTTCTGAATATGACCGAAAACTGTAAATGGTTCCACTTAACCTTGACCATGCTTCTGGCTATACATACTGTGCACATTCCTCCTCTCCTTTCTTAAACTATTCCATCCTTTTTGTGTCCTGGGATGGGCAGGCTTTTAACCATTTCTGCAAGTGAGTAACATGAAGCATTCCAAGTTTAAACTGTTTGTGGCAGCCACGCAGTTAGTTTGTGGTGAGTGGGGATTAAAGCTGAGTTCTGGGCTCTGTGGCTATGGTCAGCTTTCAGCAGTGCTTCTTGCAGCCGACCATGTCTAGCCACCTCAGAGACAGGCTCCTGCCAGTCTCCACTAGCTTTGTGATGTTGAAATCTATTTTCAAATAGTGCTGCAAAGGACAGTGGGAACTTCACTGCTTCCACAGCAAAGTTTGTAAGTGGGAGATTTCCTATTAACATTTAGGTTCAAGTGGAAAAAATTAAGAGTCCTGAAGACCACATTGGTGCTGTACTTGAACGAGCAAAGCCAGAATATATCAGCAAAACATACAAGATTGATTCTTGGGAGAATGCTGAGGACTTTCTTGAGAAGCTTGCTTTCCGGACTGGGAAGTTACTAAAGGTGAGCCAGTGTTTGTGAGAATTGAGACTGATACCTGTTGCAGGCATATATGTATATGATATGGGCCTTTTGTTGGTATGCATGTATGAGCAGTGTGAAACTTGTCACTTAAGTGATGATGAACCCCTGGGACAACTGAAATACCCTCAAAGTGGTAGGTGGTTTTGGTCCTTTGAATTTAATTGGGAATCTCTTCGTGACCTTTCAGGGTGGAGAGCCCGACTTGCAGACTGTGGGTAAGATGGTCCTCAATGACTGGCAGAGGGGCCGGATTCCTTTCTTTGTCAAGCCACCCAATGCAGAGCCACCTGTGGCCCCCCAGGTAAGAGCAGGGTGGGCCCACCTCTGGGGAGCATGGGTCCTGACCTGGATGTGGTATAGCTTGTCATCGCCTCTCTTCATAGAGCATGTTTTCATTCAGGGGCAGTGTCTCTCGTTTTATTATTTTTTTAAATATATAAAAATATTTTTGGGGCCAGGCATGGTGACTCACACCTGTAATCCCAGCACTTTGGGAGGCCGAGGTAGGTGGATCACAAGGTCAGGAGTTCCAACCTGACCAATATGGTGAAACCCTGTCCCTACTAAAAATACAAAAATTAACCCAGCATGGTGGCACGTGCTTGTAGTCCCGGTACTTGGGAGGCTGAAGCAGGAGAGTTGCTTGAACCTGGGAGGCAGAAGTTGCTGTGAGCCGAGATCGTGCCACTGCACTGTAGCCTGGGCCACAGAGGGAGACTCTATCTCAAAAAAATAAAAAAAACTTTTTTTTGAGGGTGAAGCACTGTTTGGGAGCCACTGCTGGACCACGGCGATCACTCCATCCTCTCTCATTCTAGAGTGCCAGTGCCAGTGCCATGGCCTTGCTAGGGGGTGCATTTGGAGACTAATAAATAGACATATGAGAGAAGACCAAGCTTAGATACTAGTCTTCAGGGCCTTGGAAAAAGAGGGCTCATTAAATAATAAGTGATCTTCTGGTACCTGTATCTTTTCTTATGCTTAAAAAACAGAATCGTTGCTAAGATTCATTTGTTTAACAAACATTTATTAGCATCAACTATGTGCCAGCACAGGTAATATAGGAATGAAAAACAGCCCTGGCCCTCAAAAAGCCTGTGATCCAGTGAGAAAGGAGGGTGGTACTATTGATAGTTGGAGAAAGAAGTCTGATGGCTGGGGCCAGAAGCTCTCCTACTGTCCCCATTTCCCTCACCCTGGCAGTGGATGCCAGAAGCCTCAACATTAACGTTTTGCCTTTCTAGTTCTAGGACCTTTTTCAGAACCCAGCCAAGTCTCTTGAAATGGTGGCTTCAAATTTTGCATCTATGCTTGCTAGTGTCGTTGGGTCCGTACAGTTCTGGTTTCCTCTTACCTGACTCCATTCCAAGTTGCAGTGCAGCTAGGTATTTTCAGTCGAATGTATTCTGCAGCATTTGAAAGTTAGCCTGAGCCGGGCGCGATGGCTCATGCCTGTGATCCCAGCACTTTGGGAGGTTGAGGCGGGTGGATCACTAAGTCAGGAGTTCGAGACCATCCTGGCTTTACATGCTGAAACCCTGTCTCTACTAAAAATACAAACAGTTAGCTGAGGGTGGTGGCGGGCGCCTATAGTCCCAGCTACTCGGGAAGCTGAGGCAGGAGAATGGCGTGAACCCGGGAGGCGGAGCTTGCAGTGAGACGAGATCATGCCACTGCACTCCAGCCTGGGTGACAGAGCGAGACTCTGTCTCCAAAAAAAAAAAAAAAAAAAAAAAAAATTGCCTGCCCAAACCATCAGATGACCAAGCAAAAGTTTCTCTTCCTCTTCTTGTGTATTGCATCATTCATTCATTCATTCATTCACGGATACATTCACTCAGCAATCCCATATTGAGTGTCTTCTATTGGCCACGGACTCTTCTGGGTACTGGTGGTGCTGTGGTGAGAAACTGACAGGCTGCTGCTGTCCTGCACATACATTCCAGCAAGGGAGTGTGTGGTTTCTTCTGACACCAAATACATACTTTTTTTCCATACCAGTTCTGCAGTTCCAGAAACCAGCTGAGTGTCCCAACAATTCAGTTCAGTCATGACACTAACTCCCAGAGTTAGCACAGACTCCACAAGTTAAGGACTAGGTCCCCTGCTTCAGATGGCAGCTGTGGGCTATCCACATTTATGCCCCGCTAACTACAAATTCTGGGGTTCTGGAGTTCGATAATTTGCCAGAAGGACTCCCAGAACCCAGGAAAGTGCTATGTTTACAATTAACAGTGTATTATAAAGGGTGAAACTCAGTCACAGCCAATGAAGAGGTGCACAGGGTAAGGCATGGGGAAGAGGCACAGAACTTCCGTGCCCTCACCGCACATTGATGTGTTCAGCAACCCAGAGCTTTCCAAACCCCATCATGTAGGGGTTTTTATGGAGGTTTCATTACATAGACATGACTGATTAAATCTGTGGCAGTTGGTGATAGGCTTAATTTCCAGTCTCCCTTCTCACCTCTGAGCGGCTGAAAGCACCAACCATGTGGTCAACTGCTTGGTCTTTCTGGTGACCAGCGCATCCCCCATCCTGATGCTATCTAGGGGTCCATCATGAGTCACCACATTAGCGTCAACTCGGGTGTGGTGGAAAGGGGCTTGTAACCAATAACAAAAGATACCCATCACTTGAGAAATTCCAAGGGTCTTAGGAGCTCTGTGCCAGGAAGTATGGTATTTATATCACAGGGAGACAGTAAGCAGATAAATATATAATGTCAGGAAATCTTGCGTGCTGTGAGGAAAACTAAACCAGGCTAAGGGGTTTGGGGGAGATGAGGAGTACTTTATGTGGGGTGGCCAGGGAAGGCCTCTGAGGCAGTGGCACTTCAGCAGAGCTCTTAATATGAGACAGGAGCCATGCTAGTGTCTAGGGAGAATGTTCCAGGCAAGGGGAACAGCGCATCCAGAGCAGCTGGGGCAGGAGTGTGCTCTGTGTGTCCTGATGCTGAAAGGAGGTCACTGGCTGGAATGTGATGGGCCAGGGGAGGGTGTCATGGTGGAAAGCCATTGGAGGGTTTTGAGTTGGCAGCTGGATTCTAGGGTCATTCTGGATGTCTGTATCACTGCTCTCTTGGGACCCTGTGTGGAAACACTGGCATTGTCTTCAGCCCTTCCTCCATATCTAGTCAGTAAGTGTAGATAAGTAGTTCAGATAATTCTTAAGAACTATTGTAACCATAATAGATTTGTTGCCCAGTGCACACAGCAAGTCAATACGCTGAGACACCACCAGGTTGCATCAGAGAAAGAAGTTTAATCGTAGGGTCACCAAAGGAGGAGATGGGAAGAATCCTGAAATCCATCTCTACGAAGAGTTTGGGGTCCGGGTTTTTAAAGGGTTCTCCAGTAGGCTGGAGTGAGGATCATTGGTTGGATGAAGAGTGCAGGGTGAAGTCGCGGGACAGGGAGATGAAGAAGCTGAATTCTCATGCAGATCCCATTTCTCTGGGGATCTTCAAACTGGTTGCTGGAGGTAGGGATCTGAAAAAACATTGTAAGCAATCCTTAAACAAAAACTTGATGATTCTAATGTCAGAGATCTTGCCTGTAGGAACAATGGAGATGCACATCAGTTCTTACATAGTCTTATGACCCAAATGTCAGAAATCCTATCTGTAGGGACAGTGGGGATGCAAATGGTCAGTACTTAGTGTTCAGGGACTTTTAGCAACAAGGATATGGGGCAAATTGCCCCCTAATTAGTGCTTAATTATAATTTCTGTCCAGAACTTGGCAGGTACTTCTTGTCAGCCCGTCGGAGGCAGTTTCACTATCATGTGCCTTACTCTGTGATTCTGTTTTTCTCTTTTTGGTTGAGGGCAGAAACCCCTTCGGAAACTGAAAGCCAAAAATTGCGCTTCCTAGAAAAATGTATATAGAAATTTTGTGTGTGGTTTCCTGAATTTTATAGTTCTGTACTTATTTAGTGATTTGCCTGGCCACTTCTGACTTGAGAACATCACTTTAAGTTCTGAGTTTTTGTTGCAAGGATAAAGTGATACTATGCATGTGAAACACCAGTAGAAAGCTTGGCACATTTTTGTCTTTGCAGTTACCTAAAGCAGGCCAGTCATTTCAGGGTCCCCAGACTTAGTGCTCTTATGAACTCTCTTCACTCACAGAACTCCCCCTCCTTACCTTATACTCTTGCTTCAAGATGCCTCCTCTTTTAGTCTGTTTTGTGATGCTGTAACAGAATACTGCAGACTGGGTAATTATAATGAACAGAAATTGTTTCGGCTCATGGTTCTGGAGGCTGGGAAGTCCAGTATCAAGGCACCAGCGTCTGACAAGGGTCATCCCATCGTGGAAAGTGGGAGGACAAGAGTAAGCAAGAGAGAGTCAAACTTGCTTTTATAACAAACTCACTCCTTTTTTTTTTTTTTTTTTTGAGACGGAGTCTTTCTCTGTTGCCCAGGCTGGAGTGCAGTGGCACGATCTCGGCTCACTGCAACCTCTGCCTCCTGGGTTCAAATGATTCTCCTGCCTCAGCCTCTTGAGTAGCTGAGATTACAGGCATATGCCACCATGCCCAGCTAATTTTTGTATTTTTAGTAGAGGTGGGGTTTCACCATGTTGGCCAAGCTGGTCTTGAACTCCTGACCTTGTGATCCGCCCACCTTGGCCTCCCAAAGTGCTGGAATTGTAGGCGTGAGCCACCACATCCGGCCAACAGACTCACTCTTAAAATAACCCACTCCCAAGATCACATTAGTCCATTCATGGAGATGGAGCCCTCATGATCTAATTACCTCTTATTAGGCCTCACCTCCCAACACTTGCTGCATTGGGGATTAAGTTTCTGTATCAGTCCATTTTCATACTGCTATGAAGAAATACCTGTGACAGGTTCATTTATAAAGAAAAAGAGGTTTAATGGACTCACAGTTCCACATGGCTGGGGAGGCTTCACAATCATGGCAGAAGGTGAAGGAGGAACAAAGGCATGTCTTACATGGCATCAGGCAAGAGTGCGTGTGCAGGGAAAATGCCCTTTATAAAACCGTTGGATCTCATGAGACTTACTCATCACAAGAGCGGCATGGGAAAGACCCACCCCCATAATTCAGTTACCTCCCACCAGGTCGTTCCTACAACACGTGGGGATTATGGGAGCTACAAATCAAGATGAGATTTGGACACAGCCAAACCATACCAGTTTCCAGTGTATGAATTTTGGGGGATACATTTAAATCAGAGGACTTCCTCAAATGCCTCTCTGAGTACTGTTCTAATCTTTCACATCCAGCCTGGCCTTCATTTTTATGTAGTTGTGTGTGCCGATTTTGCATATGCTTGTATCAGCAATTCCCTTTGGAAGGTCTAGGGAGCCTTGCTTGTCTATGGTAAATCATTGGTTGGTTTTAATGGTTTAAATAGTCTTAGTTGGCTCATCCTATGGAACTACACATATATTCCTTTGATCCTAGTACTGGTCTCTGGGCTTAATGTACATTGGTTTAAAAATAGATTAATGAAATGACTCAAATTTGGGTGTTTTCAATACCGTCCCTTAGTCCTGAGAAGAGGACTGTTTAAGAGCAAGGTGTGAGTTCAGAAATTCCATTTTTCATTTTCTGATTCTATTTCTCTCCCCCATTTCCACCCTTTAATAGCTTCCACCCTCCCCATCTTTGGAAGTTGTCCCAGAAGCAGCCCGAAAGAATCCAGGAGAGGAAGTTACAGAAACTGCAGGTGAGGGGTCAGAATCCGTCATTAAGGAAGAAACAGAAGAGAACAGTCACTGTAATACTAACACAGAGATGCAGCAGATTCTCACACGGGTTCGGCAGAACTTTGGTAAAATCAACGTGGTGCCTCAGTTTTCTGGGGATGACCTGGTTCCTGTGGAGGTGTCAGATCTTGAGGAAGAGCTTGAGAGCTTTTCTGATGAAGAGGAGGAGGAACAGGAGCAACAAAGAGATGATGTAGAAGAGTCTTCCTCGGAGCCTGAGGAGGAACATGTAGGAAACGACACCAAAGCCGTTATTAAAGCCCTGGATGAGAAGATTGCCAGATATCAGAAGTTTCTAGACAAAGCCAAAGCCAAAAAGTTTTCAGCAGTCAGGTAATATTTTCATCTTCTCACAAATTGCAGATTATTCGTTCCTTTCCCGAAAATTTGCCATGAGTACCAGAGCCATATTTTTACCTGGGGTTATTGCCATTTGTTTGTTTGATTAGGTTTTTTGTTTGTTTGTTTTTTGAGACGGGGTCTCGCTTTGTTGCCTAGACTGGCCTCACTCTCCTGGTCTCAAGCAGTCCTCTCATCTCAGCCTCCTAAGTAGCTGGGACTACACGTATGCACCACCACATTTGGCTGTTATTGCCACTTTTAAAAAGTGAGCTGTAAATTTTGTAAAATTCAGCTGCCTGCAGTATGAGAAGCTTTAGAAACACCCAGGGAGGTACAAATATGTTGGATGTTGACTTCTTCCACTGGTGATAACTACATGGATAGGAGTGGGGTTTCTTGAGTCTGTGAGTTTGTCGCAGGTCTCCAGGTCAGCATGTGATTCGGGGGAGTGAGAGGAGGAATGTTACTTTGCTTTTCTGTTTCAGAATATCCAAGGGACTGAGTGAAAAGATATTTGCAAAACCTGAAGAACAAAGAAAAACGCTGGAAGAACATGTAGATGATACAGGTGAAGATAAATTATTTCAACCATTTAGATATAATTTGCATCTTTAGAGTTTTGAGAAACCTAAGTTCAGTCTCCAAATTATCTCAGTCATCCACATAAATGTTTGTCATATCTGGCAGATTACTTTAAATTTACATACTGTTATGCAAATTGAATTATCCACTTTTCATTCTGCACATTTTTTAGGATTAAATTGGCAATTCAGGAAACTTCCTGGAAAGCATTCATTATTAACCTTAGAATCCAAGGGTGGGTCCACAGACAAAGAAGGGGGCGTGTTTCTTGCATTTAATCCTTTCCTCCATTTGACCATCAGCTTCCACATTGAGAGCGTGGCTCAGGGCATCCTGACCTGGCGGCCTCCCCTTGGCCTGCTTTACTCACCACTCTGCTCACCTGCTCTGTCCACACTGGGTGACCTCCTTCCGATACATCAAGCTTGTTCCCACCATTGGGTTTATAGACAAATTTTCAGTAGAAAATTCCTGTTTGTGTATCGTTTGTATCCAGCACCTTTCAAAAAAGGAAAGAAGCGGAAGGCACAAAGGGAAGAGGAACAGGAACATTCAAATAAAGCTCCCAGGGCGCTTACATCAAAAGAAGTAAGTGTTGTAGGTCTTAAGTGTGGCCCAAGTAGAGTAAATAGAACCCCAGTTGTCAAGACCCACTGAAACAAATGGTCTAGAGCTGAATCCCAAGAACCCCAGTCCTCGTTGACCTAGTTGAGGTCAGATAAATAGGGTCAGGGCTGGCCTAGGCGGTGGATGAAGGTCCTTGAGTCCATGTCATATGTTTTAGGAGTTTCTAATCAACATCTCCACACCAGTGGACTATCCTCTAGAGGAGTCAGTTTCTAGTCCCAAGGGAAATGACCCGATGAGCAGATCTGTTTTGGGCAGATCACTGACCTCTGTGAAGGACAGCTTTGGAGCTGAGCTGTTCAGAGCTGGAGTGGGCCTTCTGGGGAGGGGAGTGGTTAGCAGCACTCAGTCTTGCTGCAGGGGACTTGTCAGGAGTGATGCAGAACAGATTCTCGCATTGGATAAGGGTTGGATCACATGTGGATTTGTAACTTGGAGATTCGTAAGTCACAATGGAAGAGTAACCTTAGGTCTAAGGGGGAGCCCTCCCTCATTAGCACTGCTTCCAGTAGCTGTGGAAGCAGCACGGGAAATAGAACACAGAGATGAGAAGCAGAGACTCCTGTTTTGTGAATGACTTTCAGGGTTTTGTTTTTTTTTTCTTCGTCTTTTCTTGCCATTTTTTACAGCGGAGGCGAGCAGTACGGCAGCAACGGCCGAAAAAAGTTGGTGTGCGCTACTATGAAACACACAACGTGAAAAATAGGAACAGGAACAAAAAGAAGACCAATGACTCAGAGGGACAGAAACACAAACGCAAAAAATTCAGACAAAAGCAGTAATGTTTAAAAGGTTTTTATTAAATTATACAAAAACATGCAATTAGAAATTGTGTTTTCTTCCTGCCCCATTGGCATTTCTAAGGCCATAATGCATTTGTTCTGAGGTTTGACAGTTGAAGCCCTTCACCAGTGCTAGGGAAATAAAGCCTCCTCACCCTTAAGGATTTCAGTGATAAGAGTCTGAAAGTGTAGCACTTCAGGTAGACTGTGGATGAACTAAGATTCATCCACAGTCACCCTGTCATATAAATGTCTGACAGAAATAGGGGACGAGGTCTACAAAATGGAAAGGGTGATATTTCTTTTTTATTGGTAATGAGTGATTTGGAATAGAAGCATACTGAACTGCAAATTTCAAGGACGTTAGTGTACATGGCCTGGGCTTTGAGATACAAGAAGGCTGGGTGCGGAAGAAATAGGAGAAAGCTACAGTAATTTCTGCCTCAATGAGTCTGTGAAGTGGACCCACTTACGACACATACATTCCTGTCTTAGAGTCCTGGAACCAGCAGATCTCGTGGAAAGAGTTCTTTCCCATGGAAATGACAACACAGGCAGGTCATTTGAGTGGAGCCTTAAAATTCCTCAGGATACTGGATCAGGGTAAAAGCTGCCCCTTAGATTCCAGATGAGAATGTGTATGGTGAACACAGCTTTTCTGGGGGAACGACAGTGCTTCCATTGTGAGCCTTGAAGCTCACTGGACCCAAGACAGATGGCAGATGGAAGCTCTGCTAAGGAGAGTCCCTTCTCACACCTCTTTCTGGGGAAGCTGAGCATGTTAGTGCCTTTTAGGTCATGTTACTTGTGCAGCCTAACTGAAGGATGGAAGTTCTCCAGCTTACCACCCTAGCCCATCCTGCCTTGCCCTGAACTAAAGATTTATGTCACTCATTCAGTCTTCTGGGTCTACAAAACCAGGAGAGTGGAAGAGATACTAAAATGCAGTTGTCTAGCAGCCATACTCCAATCATTAGTCATTAGACCTGCATTTGGTTACCTCTTCAGTTGTTAATTAACATCACTACTTAGGGGAGTGCAGAGTCTGGGCTTGATTTTCTGCAGGATAAGGGGAACAGATCGGTGCTGGGGGAAGAGCTGAGTTGCAGACAACTCAAAGGCCACTGTGACTAGTATTCCTTTCTGGCAAACATTTACTTTCTCCAAAGCCATAGGTTTGACCCTGCCATCGTTTCCTAACGTAGGCAGTCTGAAACCGAGGAGGAAGGGGTCCAGTTGACTGGTAAGTGTGGATAATACATTAGAAAACCAAAGCTCCAAAATGAGTTAGAAATGCATTCGAGCAAGGATAAGAAGACATTAAATAAGGAAGGCCAGAGGCCCAAGAAGCCCAAGTTAGTTAAGGTAGAAGATGAATTGTGAACTAAAAGTTTAAGGAGCAGAGAAGCAGATTCATTTGGCCAGAAGTAAGTATTGGTATAGAGTGATGACGAGATAGCAGTTACTTTCTTAGAATTTGAGCTGGCAGATCCCAAGGCTGACTAGTAAGCCACACACTTAGATTAACAGGGCCACACCATCTTCCATTGCCCAGCCAGCAGCCTAGCTGGCAGACCTTAGGTGTTTCATGACATTGGAGCAATAGTGTGACTTCTGACAAATACCTAGGTGGTGGTTAGGGGAGGGTATAGCTTGCTCACTCAGGAAACGCTTTTTATTACAAAGGGCTTATGATGATTTTATTTGCTGCCAGAAGAACATAGTAAATAATCCCAAGTGTCTTGTTGGAAATTATCATGTGGAAATTATCACTTCTTTGGTGCAATAATGCCTTCCAGTTGGGCCTGAAAAACAAAAACAAACTCCATTAACACTTGAACCTTGCAGCCTGATACAAATAGCTAAGAGGTGATAAAAGTCTCTGGGAAGAATAATCCAAATGCTGTCACTCCAAGTGTTCTTTTTCCCCTTGATCCCCAAATCCATATTTTCTAGATTAGCTAATTTCTGGCTTGGCATACAAGCCAGAGTCTGAGTACATGAGGAGATGCCAGACCTGTCTGGTTTCCACACAATGGCTCTGGGTATGATATAAAGCATTGACAAGGATATTGAATGCATTGTTGTAAGGGCTTTTCATGGCTCAGATTTCAGGCCAGAGTATGTCTGCTAAGTTAAATATTTGGCTCTCTGGCCGGGCACAGTGGCTCATGCCTGTAATCCCAGCACTTTGGGAGGCTGAGGCGGGCGGATCATGAAGTCAGGAGATTGAGACCATCCTGGCTAACACGGTGAAACCCCATCTCTACTAAAAATAAAAAACTTAGCCGGGCGTGGTGGCAGGCGTCTGTAGTCCCAGCTACTCCAGAGGCTGAGGCAGGAGAATAGCATGAATCCGGGAGGGGGGGCTTGCAGTGAGCGGAGATCACACCACTGCACTCCAGCTACTCCAGAGGCTGAGGCAGGAGAATAGCATGAATCCGGGAGGGGGGGCTTGCAGTGCGCCGATGTCGGCCCCCCTTACCTCAGGCTGGCGGCAAAAACCGGGCCCCCTCCCAAAAAAAAAAAAAAAAAAAAAAAAAAAATTGGCTCTTTTGTTTAAGATCCTGGGAGTTCTGCTGGGACCAGAGGTTTGGGAAACAGCAAATTTTCAGCCACTGAAACAACTTGACATCCAATTAGAGAAATGTTGCCAGTGAATACAGAGCTGTCCCTTTTTTTGGGGGGGTGCAGGTGGGGAATGGAGTTTTGCTCTTGTCACCCAGGCTAGAGCGTGATGGCATGATCTCGGTTCACTACAACCTCTGCCTCCCGGGTTCAAGTGATTCTCCTGCCTCAGCCTCCTGAGTAGCTGGGATTATAGGTGCACATCACCAAGTCCAGCTACTTTTCGTATTTGTAGTAGAAATGGGGTTTCACCATGTTGGCCAGGCTGGTCTCAAACTCCTGACCTCAGGTGATCCACCCACCACGGCCTCCTGAAGTGCTGGGATTACACGTGTGAGCCACCGCACCCCGCCAGAGCTATCCCTCTTTGCATAAAGCTTAAGACACTTGGGAGTTATTTACTATGTTCCTCTGGCAGCCAAAATAATAATACTGGACAGATCTGTAGGTAGGTCTAGCCTAGGGACTGCAAAGCTGCTTTATTTGCAATTGCAGTTTTGAGCCAATAAAAACAGCTCACTTCCTGTGTTACACGCCTGTAATTCCAGCACTCTGGGAAGCCAAGGTGGGCGGATCACATGAGATCAGGAGTTCATGACCGGCCTGGCCAACATGGTGAAACCCTATCTCTATTCAAAATACAGAAATTTGCTAGGCGTGCTGGCATATGTCTGTAATCCCAACTACTTGGGAGGCTGAGGTAGGAGAATGCTTGAACATGGGAGGTGGAGGTTGCAGTGAGCCGAGATTGCACTCCAGCCTGGGCAACGAGAGTGAAGCTATGTCTCAAAAAAAAAAAAAAAGGCTCGACGCAGTGGCTCATACCTATAATCCCAGCACTTTGGGAGGCTGAGGCAGGTGGATCACCTGAGGTCAGGTGTTCGAGACCAGCCTGGCCAACATGGTGAAACCCCCATCTCTACCAAAAATACAAAAAATTAGCTGGGCATAGTGGTGGGCGCCTGTAATCCCAGCTACTCGGAAGGCTGAGGCAGGAGAATCGCTTCAACCCGGGAGGCAGAGGTTGCAATGAGTCGAGATCATGCCATTGCACTCCAGCCTGGGCAACAAGAGCAAAACTCTGTCTCAAAAAAAAAAAAAAATTTAAAATGCCCACTTCTAAAGAATCTTTCACTCTGGAGATTGCAAGATTGCTTTTAAATGTTAGAAATATGCTAAGGTATTTGGTTTGCTCTTGTTGCTAATCCAGGAAGAACTGGGGAACTCAGGCTTGTGAAAAAGGAATATGGCAGTTAAGGAAAGCAGCCTCAGAGTCTGCTAAGGAAACAGATTCATCTATGGCTGTGAAAGTTTCTTGCTTTTCTTTTTGTTTAACTTTTCAGCAACAAGAAAAGTTCCAGTAGTGGTTAATAGAAAGCTTTCTTTATTGCAAATGGCCAGTCCTGCTGGTGTGTAGACCTAACAAGCCTGCCAATGTCAAGACTGTAAGGTTTCTATCTGAGTCTAGGGAGGAAAGGGAGATCTATCCAGGGTCCTTTGGCCAGGGCCATGGGAAAAAGCCACTAAATGTCAGTAGGCTATCTGTCCAGAACAGTGATGCTCAAACTTTTGCAAACATTAGAATCACCTGAGACCTTGTTAAAGCACATTGCTGAACCCCAACCTCAAATTTTCTGATTCGGTACATCTGGGGTGGGTCCAATAATTTGTCTTGCTTAGTTTGCCAGGTGAGGACGATGCTGGTCTGGGGCCTACCTTTTGAGAACCTTTGGACCAAACAGCGGGGAGGTGCAGTGCCTGTAGCATGGCCTCCTGCCCAGCTGTGTCCAGCAGCCCCCTCCCTCCCATGACCTCAGCCAGATAAAAGACCACTGCTGGCACTGGGCTTCGAGGAAGAGCACCTACGCCTGGGTTCCCTGACCACATTCCTGGGGAAGGTTTCTGATTTGAAATGATTCTTCCTCTCAAAGGGCCCTGCTGCCCACTGGTTCTGACTTCTTCCCTGGTTATGCCCTAAAACAGTGCCTCAGAGGAGACAGCCATGGGACAGCACTACCACGCAAGCCAGCTGGAGCCCCGCTCTCCCCCAGGAAGGCTCCAACATACCAGCTTCCAGGGGAACGGAGTTTCACTTTTTGCCATATCCACCTCTTCCTTGAGGATGGGCAACTTTTTTCCAGGGAGAAGAATCCTCCACTAGAGAGCCAGGCTGAGGCGCCTCAGAGATTTGGAGTTGAGAGTAGAGGCCCCCTCTGGAGCCCTCCCCTTCTCCCACCACCAAAGTCAGCTTCCTTTATTCTTTGGCAGTGCATGTGGACAAACAGTTAAAAGCCATGGAAAAGGAACCGAATGCCTGGCCCGTGGGGCTGGGTCTTGGGGCGGTGGGCACCTCCACCCCAGCCTGTGCGTTGATTACCTTCAGCTGCTGATTCGTCCGCTTTAGGAACTGAATCTCCTCATTGTGCTTCTTCTCCTCCACCTGCCGCCTCTCGCTCTCCCGCTTCTCGGTGGCTTCACATTTTGCCTTCTGCTCGTTCACTTGCCTCTCCAGGTCTCTCTTTTCCGTCTCCAATTCTGCAATCTGAGGAGAGAATGACCAGTCATCCTGGGATGTTGCCAGGTGAATGGAATGGTGTGAGCCTGGGTGGAAGGGACATGGGACATAAGACATTGCCAGGGTATATACTGCCACCCAGTGGGAGGTCAGTGCCTGGCATGGAGCGTCCACAGCGGAGACAACTCTGCCAAGACCACCAGGCTGGCCATCATACTCAACCAGGGGTCCCTCACTGAGGTGATGCAGGTCCAAGTGTCGTGACTGTCAGGAGAGCACCTTAGGAGGCCAGAATGTAGTGCTGGAATGACAAGCACATGGCCCTGCGGTTTACAGAAGAGACGGGGCCAAGGGTCACGGTAAACCCCACTCACTTTCCTCTCCATGTCTGACTTCCCCTGCTCAGCCTGCAGTGCCTTCCTCATGCCAAACGCCACACTGCTCTCGTACAGGGTCTGGTAGGCAGCGATGGTCATGCGGATCTCGTCCCGGACTCGCAGCAGCAGCAGCCCCCTCTCCGCACAGTTGATGGTGACCTCCCGGATCAACTCATCTTCCAATGCACACACACCATGAGATCAGACAGGGCGTGGGGAGGGGGCTTGCACTGTGTCTACTGCAAACACCCTTCCTCTTGGGAAGGACATTAGGGTGTTCTCGCTTGGAGACAAAGTACAAAGCCTCAGAGAAGGGCCTCAGGGAGGCTGCCCTCAGTGGCCCAAAGAGCCTTGCCATGCAGTGACTCCTCTGAACTTGGCACTTGTGAGTAGCACAGAGTCAGCAAACCTGGGTCGTCCAGGGCAAAGGAAACAAGAGGCTCTGGTTTGTTTGCAGCACTGGGTCTCCTCCCTTCTGGCCTTTGGTAAAAACTGGTTACTATTCGAAAAAACCTGACTTTTTCTGTTTAAACATGGCAGCTGTTTTAAAGCAGCTGGGACATCCTGTGTGCCCCCTTGGCTGCACTGGTTTGAGGCTGGAAATGGCAATGTCTAGAGCTTGCCCACCTATCTCCCCATGAATGCTGACCTGGAGGGCGAAGCGTAACAACACACGGATAGGGAAGCCTGCTAAACCCTGCAGCTGCCTGAGGGTTTGAAGGTGATTTGCAGATTGGCACCCATAAGAGCCAGTGAGACTGGGCCGGGGGACAGCCATTTGACACCAGCACTCAAGGAGGTGCATCTTAAATCTCTCGTGTCTGTCGGTTAACAACAAATCACAATATTTTTCTGGACCAAGGGCCAAATATTCGTGGATGGATGGATGTAAATACTGAACATTAATCTTTCTGACTAAAAAATTAGCACATGCTTATTACAGAAATCTTTGGAAAACCAGATGGAAGTTCTCGTTTTACTCCAAACATCTGCTAAGGGGGTGAGGAACTCAAGTTGCCAAGAATACAGTGGCTGGCAGCTGGAGGACTTGTAGAAGAGGTGGGGCTGGTGTAGGGAAAAGAAAGAGAGATCAGACTGTTACTGTGTCTATGTAGAAAAGAAAAACATGAGAAACTCCATTTTGACCTGTACCCTGAACAATTGCTTTGCCCTGAGATGCTGCTGATCTGTAACTTTGCCCCAACCTTGAGCTCACAGAAACATGTGTTGTATGGAATCAAGGTTTAAGGGATGTAGGGCTGTGTAGGATACGCCTTGTTAATGAAATGTTTACAGGCAGTATGCTTGGTAAAAGTCATCGCCATTCTCCATTCTTGATAAATCAGGGGCACAATGCACTGCGGAAAGCTGTGCAGGGAGTTCCAGGGCAGGGACCTCTGCCCTGGAAAGCCAGATGTTGTCCAAGGTTTCTCCCCATGTGATAGCCTGAAATACGGCCTCATGGGATGGGAAAGACCTGACTGTCCCTCAACCCCACACCCGTGAAGGGTCTGTGCTGAGGAGGATTAGTAAAAGAGGAAGGCCTCTTGCCGTTAAGACAAAAGCCTCTGTCTCCTGCCTGCCCCTGGGAACTGAATGTCTCAGTATAAAACCCGATTGTACATTTGTTCTATTCTGAGATAGGAGAAAAATCGCCCTGTGGTGGGAGGCGAGACATGTTGGCCGCAACACTGATCTGTTACTCTTTACTCCACTGAGATGTTTGGGTGGAGAGAAGCAAAAATCTCACCTACATGCACATCCAGGCATAGTACCTTCCCTTGAACTTATTTGTGACACAGATTCCTTTGCTCACATGTTTTCTTGCTGGCCTTCTCCCCACTATCACCCTGCTCTCCTGCCGCGTTCCTCTTGCTGAGATAGTGAACATAGTAATCAATAAATACTGAGGAAACTCAGAGACCGGTGCCGGTGCGGGTCCTCCGTATGCTGAGCACTGGTCCCCTGGGCCCACTTTTCTTTCTCTATACTTTGTCTCAGTGTCTTATTTCTTTTCTCAGTCTCTTGTCCTGCCTGACGAGAGATACCCACAGGTGTGGAGGGGCTGACACCCTTCAGCTGGGAAGGGGAAGAGGGCAGTTAGCTGTTGCTGGGTGGGTCAGGCAGGGGGAGAAAAGGGGATTCCAGTAGGAGATGGGCTCCAGCTCTAGGGTGCTCAGGCTTGGATCTGTGCTGAAGGTGAAGGGAAGGGAGCAGTAGGGTGTGTAGTGTCCACCCCTCACCTGGCTCACTCACCAAAACACTGTGAGTAGAGTTCCCTGCGGACAGGGCAGATGCCTGTTTCCCTGGCCTGCCGCTGCTGCAGCTTTAAGTCTAACTGCTCCTGGAGGTGCACCACGTCCATCCTGGTGCTAGGGGTGCTGGACACCTGCTGGATCCATAGCTGCGTGTCTTCCACCCACTCCCTGTGGCAGACACAGTGAGACTGAGCAAAACCCATTGACTCGAGGGTCCCCAGCACATAAGCAGAGAGGGCCCTTTGAGCCCTCTGCCTGAGCAGCAGTGAGGGGCAGCTTTGCCACCAACCCAGAATCCTCCATCCCTTGGGATGTGAGCTTCCAAAGCCACACCCGCTATGCTGCCTCCGTAGGGACCTCGGGAATGGGTAGGTAGTGGACAATTTCCACCACGGCAACGGGCCTCTGTGAAATCATTCCCCACCATTTCAGATCTTACCCTCCTAACATGTTGAAGACCGATTTATGGTTGTTGCTTGATCTGAACAGTAGGAACTACCCACCAACTTATGGGATGGGAAACACAGGACATCATGAACCTTGTGTGAGTGAGAAAGAGGCAGATGTGTGTATCAGGGGTGGGGAGGTTCGTGAAGGTGTGTGCCTGCATAGGCCCCCACAATGAACCTTGTGGCAGAGATGGCCAGGTTGTGGAATCACATGGAGGAAGTTTGAAGGCAAAACTGCCATGGGGGAGAGGATTTCTGCATCACTGGTGGGAGGGAATCAACTGAAAAGTGACCCCCATCCTTTGACCTCCACCTCAGAGGAGATGACAGTCTGTCTTTCACTGTTTTCCCTTTTCCTCATAGCCTTACAAACTGTGCTGTCAACTTATTACATAAAAATAGATGAAAAGGCATGTTGCTGCAGAAGAAAAAAGCAAGAAGAGGAGATCATGTTGGGCAGGGGTGCTGTGCTATAGCGAATTCTCAAGGAGAGCCTCCTGGAAGAAATGACATCTGAGAAAAACCTGAGTGAAGAAATGAAAGGAACCAGGAGAATATCAAGGGAAGAACATCTTTGGCAGTGAAAACACCAGCTGTCAGGGCCCTGTGATGGGCGAGTGAATGAGGCATTTCAGAAATAGCAAGTGAGGGCCGGGCGCGGTGGCTCACGCCTGTAATCCCAGCACTTTGGGAGGCCGAGGTGGTCAGATCACGAGGTCAGGAGATCAAGACCATCCTGGCTAACACGGTGAAACCCCGTCGCTACTAAAAATACAAAAAACTAGCCGGGCGTGGTGGCGGGCACCTGTAGTCCCAACTACTCGAGAGGCTGAGGCAGGAGAATGGCGTGAACCCAGGAGGCAGGCGGAGGTTGCAGAGAAAAGAAATCCCACCACTCCCTCCCACCCTGGGTGAAAGAAGAAAACCCCGATTTAAAAAAAAAAAAGAAGAAAAGAAATAGCAAGTGAGGCCTCTGTGGATTCAGCACAGTGAACAGTGAACAAGAAACAGAGTAACAGGAGATAAGGTCAGGGATATATCATAGGCTAGATCATGCCACATCTTCCAGGCCATTGTAAGGACTTTTGATTTTAGTCTGAGATGGGAAGCCATGAAAGAGTTTTGGGCAGAGACTGGCATGATCTGACTTATGACTTAGGGGCTGTATGGAGGATAGCTATTAGGAGCAGAGTGGAAGCAGTGTTTTCAGACAGGAGACCATTGCAGCAGTGCGAGTGGCCACCAGTGACGAGAAGCAAGATGATGGAAGCAGAGGTGGTGAAAAGTGGTTGGATTTGGGAAAGAATTTGAAGGTGGAGCCAAAAGAATGTGACGAAGGATAGGACACATGCTGTGAGAGTGACCAAAAGGAATGAAAGGTGGTTTGAGTCCCTAGTAAAAAGTTCTCAGAAGACGGGGGAAGAGCAGACTGGGGGAGGAAGAAATTGCGATTTAGTTTGAATATGTTGAGTTAGAGATGTCTATTAGATAGCTTCATGCAGATAATGAGGAAGTAGAAGACTACATGGGCCTGGAGTTTAGTGGAGAGGACAGGGCTGGAAATACACATTTAGGAGCCATCGGCACATAGGTGGTATCTAAAGCCATGAGATTGGGTGACAGCATGCAGGAAACAAGGGTAGATTGAGAAGAGGTCTCCCACCAGCTTGCCAGGATCCAGCCATATGTAAGTTCTAGGAGCTCTGTGATACTGGGAGAAAACCCCAGCCAGGAACGGAGGCAGAGTGCCTCCTCCCACACTCCCAAAATCCACGATGCAAAAGCCTAGGCCTTCTCCCAGCCACTGCTCCTACTTTCTTACCTTGGGGGTAGTATGGCATTCAAGATTTCTTCTGCTTGCTTTGTAGGATCTGGGACACAGGGAGCTGAGGGGAGCTTGGTCTTGGGTAGCTGTGGGGCTGAACCTGAAGGTCCAGGCTGCTGGGGGCTGACTTTCAGTAGCCGAGCCTGAGATGAAGGCACAGGTGAGGGCAGGAAATGGTTCAGGAGCTCAGCTCCACACATTCCCAACCTGTAGATTGCTCCAGGTCTTCCGCACAGTCCTCCCCTCTTCCTAGCCTACTTTGGGTCGGTCTTCTCAGCAGAAATTGTCACAGAGCTGAAGGAGGCCATGAAGTCTGGTCCCAACTCAATGCTTGAACAAGTGTTTCTGGCACATGTGCTCAGGCATGTGCTTTCACACCTCTGGTGATGGGGAAATCACTACCTCATCTATTCTTGGATCCGGGTACCATGAAGAAGAGTGAGCCCCATCCATCTCCCTGTGACCTCCTTTCCCATCCTAAATCGGCCCTCTGGGGTCACACCCAACATCTGGGCTTCCTATACAATCCTCTCACCCTCCTTCTCCGACTTCCCAATTCCCTTTACTCCCAGTCGCTGCAATCCCTGTCCCTTGAGATTGCTGACCCTCAGTGCGGGAACGTGTCTTTCCCCATCGGAGTTTCGAGGCTTTGTCCTCTGAGGCCTCGTCCTTACCTTGGGGCTCCGTTTCTCCGTGTTCCGGCTCACCAGTACAGGGGTGTCGTACTTGAGCAAAGAATCTGCGGGGGGAATCATGGCGGCGGCGAGAGTAGCAGCCCAGCAGCTGCCCCGTCCAGTGTGGGCCTTGTTTGCCGTCACCATGGAAACCGCCCCTCACTCCCGCCCCCGCGCTTCTTGGCCTGGGCGGAGCTTCGAAGTGGGGCGGGGCCAACAACCGGCGAGTTTCATTCTGTGCCTCCTGGGCGGAAACCTCTTGTTCCTGGCTTCTTAGGCCTTCTGCTCCCCGGTTCGTCCCTGTATTCTTGGAAGCAAGGAAAACGGCGGTTCGAGTCCCTGCGCTGCGTCTAGCTCGCGATTTGAATGAAGTGGGCAGATCACCTTTGCCGTGCCCCAATTTTGTCACCTGAAAAACAGGAGTCATCTCCTGACTCCTCATGAAGGATTAAGGGACAATTCCCAGAGGAAGTTATCTGGAGTTCCTAGGTTTTTTGAAGGGTTTTTTTGTTGTTGTTGTTCCCAAAATGTGTTTATTGAGATTGTTTCCCACTCATCTTGATTCAGGGTGCTTTTAGTGCTGCTTCCTCCTGAAGGAACATCCTTCTGTATGCCTTACTTTTCCTCCCGTAGGAGGAAAGTGGAGCAGCCAACACACAAAACTGCCGTTTGTGCATGGCTAAAGACTGGTGATTTTATAGCATCCTGGGCATTTCACATCCATGAAGTAGGAATTGGGGCTCCGCACCAGGCGTTTCTTCTTGTGTTTCCTCTTCTCTTCGGGGGAGGGATGAAGGAGATCCTTTGCAAGAGGCATGTTCTCGTGGGTAGGTCGTTACCGCCAGAAAGGGCTTGTTTTGTTTTTTAAATTGAGATGGAGTCTCGCTCTGTTGCCCAGGCTGAAGCGCAGTGGAGTGATCTTGGCTCACTGCAACCTCCACCTCCCAGGTTCAAACGATTCTCCTGCTTCAGCCTCCCGAGTAGCTGGGATTACAGGTGCCTGCCACCACATCTGGCTAATTTTTGTATTTTTAGTAGAGACGGGGTTTCACCATGTTGGTCAGGCTGGTCTCGAATTCCTGACCTCGTCATCTGCCTGCCTCGGTCTCCCAAAGTGCTGGAATTACAGGCGTGAGCCACCGCGCGTGGCCTGAAGTATTTTTCTAATTAAATGGAGAAATGACAATGTAGGAGCCAATGGGAAGCTTCCCCTTTGCCCCCTGAGGAGTCGCTCAAAAATCAATTCACAAAAGGCAGATTAATTGGAGAAAAAGCATACGAATGTATTTAAAGTGTATACACGGGGAGAATCACAGCATGATTACCCACCCCGAAAGGGGTTCAGAAGCTTATATATATATCCTCCTGGTGAAACAGACTTATGAGGGTGGGAGAAGGAGGAATTCTGTTCAGGGATTACTAGGCAGAATGAATTAATAAGGGAACAGAGATACATTTGTAAATAGTTTTTTGTTGTTTTTTTGTTTTGGTTTGGTTTTTTTGAAGACAGGGTCTCACCCTGTAGCCCTGGCTGGAGTGCAGTGGTGCCATCACGGCTCACTGCAGCCTCCAACTCCTGGGCTCAAGTGATCCTCCTATCTCTACTGGGACCACAGGCACGAGCCACCAGCCCCTGCAAAATTTAATTTTTGTAGAGACAGAGTCTTGCTATGTTGGGCAGGTTGGTCTGGAACTCCTGGCTTCAAGCGATTTTCCTGCCTTGGCCTCCCAAAGGGCCGGAATTACAGGCTGCAGCCTCCGTGTTCGGCTGTAAATAGCTACTTTTGACAGTATAAGGGTCTCTGGTCAGGTGTGATTACATTCTTGGGAGGAGAAGAAAGAAACAATTATTCCTTTTGGTAGTCTGTATCTTAGGCAGATAAAGACCTGCACTTTGGGAGAGACGGTGGGCACCGGGAAGGAACATTGAGGCTTCTTCAGTTCGGCATGTCAGTGCGCCATATTTTGGGGTTTCGATTTCTGAGCCCCAACAGCATTGCAAAAAGTTCAGGAAATAGAAGAGGAAAAGCTAATGATTTGCCCACGGGTTATCATCTCTGATTGCATTTCCATTTCTTCCTCCCTTCTATTTACAAATGTAAATGTAATTATGGTTTGCGCACAATTTTGTATCCTGCTTTGTCATTAACAAGTCAGGGTTTTTAAAGTTTGTAAATGGTTTACTAATGGCCACATAACACCCATTAATTTGGCTCACTTCCCTATTGCTGGTTATTTACATTGTTTCCACGTTTTGTAATTACTAATAATGTGGCAACAAACAGTCTTGAGAGGTTTGTTTTTTCCCAGTTTTTTTTGTTGTTGTTGTTGTTTGTTTTTGAGACATCTCGCTCTGTCGCCCAGGCTGGAGTGCAGTGGTGCGATCCGCGCTCACTGCAACCTGCGCCTCCCGGGTTCAAGCGATTATCTTGCCTCATTCTCCCGAGTAGCTGGGATTACAGGCGCGCGCCACCACACCTGGCTAATTTTTGTATTTTTATTAGAGACGAGGTTTTGCCATGTTGGCCAGGCTGTTCTCGAACTCTTGACCTCAGGTGATCCGCCAGCCTCGGCCTCCCAAAGTTCTGGGACTACAGGCGAGAGTCACCACGCCCAGCCAAAAGTTTGTTTTTGAAACTTGAAACTCCCGCCACCCAAGCAGGTCACTGTGGCCACGCCCACTAGGGAGTAGTCACGTGTTTAATATCCGCCGCGAGGATTTCTGGGAGGTTGGGCACCCCGGAAGCGGAAGTCCAGGAGTCAAACTCGTCATTTCCTTCAGCTAGAGGAGCTCAACGGATCTGTTTTCTTTCGCTCAGCCAAAATCACAGAATGAAGGCGGTGAAGAGCGAACGGGAGCGAGGGAGCCGGCGAAGACACCGGGACGGGGACATGGTGCTGCCGGCGGGGGTGGTGGTGAAGCAGGAGCGTCTCAGCCCAGAAGTCGCACCTCCCGCCCACCGCCGTCCGGACCACTCCGGCGGTAGCCCGTCTCCGCCGGCCAGCGAGCCGGGCCGCCCGGGCCACCGCGGGAACCGAGTCCGAGGAGTTAGCCGGTAAGTGGGGGAGCAGCCCAGGATGGACGTTGGGTTGGGCTCATTCAGAAAGGCGGGCAGGGCTAGCATCTGAAACAGGTTTTGAATGCTGGTCGCAGCAGCCCGGACTTAATCCTGAGGGACTGTTGAGAGTGATCCAGTCGTGCTTGTGTTATGCTTGTTCTGTCACTTGCCTTATAGCTCGGTGTTCAACGCCTAATGACACACCGGCAGGATCCCACTCCTTCATTCTTGTGTCCCCAGCACTTCGAAGAGTGTAGCCCAACAGATAGCACTGATAATCTGTTAAATTAGAATGAGATTTTCCCCATCCCGCCCACAAATGGAGTGTGGGCCTTGTCTTTCCAGTTACCTGCCAGAAAGGTTTTCACATCGAGGTGTAGGCGAGCTACCTAACAGAAACTGGAAAAATAAAAATAAAAAAAGTTACTTCTTGCTAGACTCATTTGTTTATGCATTCATTCACCATAGTTTTACTGAGTGCCTATTTTAAGTGTGAAAGACTGCCCTAGGTATTGGGGCTGCAAGGGCGATTCAGTTAGATGATCTTCACCAGTGCCAAATTGGCCATGCTCTAACCCTGAGACAGATGATTAAAAAAAAAAAATAGTTTCGATAACAAGTATTATTGATAGGTTATAGCAGTAATGTGATAGAGATTGGAGAGAAGAGGGAGGAGGCCTCTCTAAAGAGGTGCCATTTGAGTCCAGACCTGAGTGATAGGAATGATTCAACCTCTTAAAGATCCAGGCAGAGGAAACAACATCTGCAAAGAACTTGAAGTAGAATGAATTATGATTGAAATGGGAAAAAGCCAGTGTCGGTGGAGTATAGTGGTCAAGAAGGTGGGTGGTAGGAATGAGATGGCATAGGGAGGAAGTAGAACCACGGGATGGAGGGATTGTTCCTGATGCTAGGGGTGTTGGTAGTGAGGGATAAAGAATCAAGGGTGACTTCCGGATGGTGATGCCAGTTAGCAAGATGGCAAGGAGTAGGACAGGAAAGGTTTTTGAAAGGTTGGAAATTAAGAGTTTTGTTACCTAAGTGAGAAGGTTCAGTAGACAGTTGTCTATGTGAGTATGGAATGCAAGGGAGACGTTAGAGCTAGGAAAATGAACCTCGTGACTCCTTTAATGTGACTGGCAGGTACCTTCACAAAAGCAGTGTTTGTGTTAGTAGGTAAGCCTGATACTGGAAGCTAATTTTTATGGGGGAAGGGAAATTTCGATAAAATCCTGTGTACCATGCTCTGTATAGGTCCCCACCCAAAAAGAAAAACAAGTCCTCAGGGAGAAGAAGCAAGTCTCCTCGGAGTAAGAGAAACCGAAGTCCTCACTACTCAACAGTCAAAGTGAAGCAGGTAAGGATTGGGGTGTTTTGATGTTGGGTCCAAATTGAGAGCCTTTTCCTATCACAGCTAAAGAGGGCTGTGTGTGTGTGTATTGTGTGTGTGCGTGTGTGTGCACGCACACTCGCCTACATCTCTGCCTGTACCTCCAATGGGCTTTTCTGAAAACTGGGTGTATTTCTTTTTTCTGCTTGTTTGCTTAAATTAAACTTTTTATTTTGAGATTATTATTGGTTCACATGTGGTTGTCAGAAATAATTCAGGGAGATATACTCTTCCTGGTTTCTCCCAGTGGTAGCATCTATTCATAATAGAACTGTGGTACAATATCATCATCAGAATATTGACATCGATATAGTCAAGATAACATTTCTTTCACCACAAGGAATACCTCATGTTGTCCTTTTGTAGCCACACACACTTATCTCCCACTTTTATCCTTCCTTAACTTCTGTCAACTTCTAATCTGTTCTTCATTTCTATAATTCTGTCATTTCAAGAATGTTATGTAAGTGGAATCATACAGTATGTAACCTTTAGGATTGTCTTTTCTCACTCAGCAGAATCCTTTGGAGATTGATTCAGGTTGCAACTCTCAGTAGTTTGTTCCATTTCATTGCTGAGTGGTATCCATATGGTATGGATTTAGCCACTTACTCATTAAAGAACATCTGGGTTGTTTCCATTTTTTGGCTATTACACATAAAGCTGCTATATACACATTTGTGTACAGGTTTTTATGTGAAC